TGTTGTTTATAAAAATTTGAAAATTGTAGGTTTTCTTTTCTTTCTTTTTTTTTGTTAAAGGAAAATTGTAGGGTTTCCTTTCTAATTATTCATTAAAAAAATACCAGAGCTGTGTCATTGTATTATTATACTAAAAATTAGGTCTAGTTATCTACGAAGTACTCTTTTTATTTCGAGCACCCACTAAATATTATTTTGATTAAAAAAACCAAATTATTAGCATCAGTATCACAAAACACACATGTTCAAAGAAATGTACATTTCAATTAGATTTCAAGTCACCTCAAAGCTCACCTATCCTCTCACTGACTAATGTGTTTTTATTTTTATTTTTAATATACATATATGTGCGTATATATGTGGTCATTAATTTATTTACTTTCATAAAAATGTAACTCTCTTTTAAAAAAAAAACATAGAAAAATGTACACCTTAAATATGTGTGAGCACTGAGCACAAACAAATTAACAGAGAAAACTGTTTGGGCGTTAGAGGCGGTTCAACTGCCTGCAGCTCTTTTTTAGTGAATAGTATTAGTGATGAAAGGAATTGCCTGTTGTGCAACATGCTCCAAACGTACCAACAACGTGTCGCTATTTATACCTTATGTGTTTACATATCTGTCGTTTTTTCTTCTACGAACACATATGTCTTTTCTTTTTCTATAGTTCTCGTTATTTATTAAACTAAATTTGACCTATAATCAATTATGTTTGAAGGGTTTTTGATAAACCAAAATAGTACGTCCATGCTTATGAGTCAACCACTAATAATAGTAGTTAAAAGAAGTAAAATATGGTTAGAGGTAAACTGGATGCATTTTTATTTCGTTTATTCCTGAAATTAGAAAAATGTCGAATTAAAATTCTGAATAATGTATGTAACTTGTAAGTTGACAGAACACAACCAGTTTATTTAGCAGATAAATTTAAATTATTTAGCATATATAAATTTTACGCATGTTATTTTAGTTGATGGTATGTTATTTTTATCTAATACCATACTTTTTTGCAACAAAATTATTTATATAATACTGTACTATTTGTATAAATTACATGCGTGAATAAAAAAGTTATTTGGAAAATTAACCAAAAATACTATAAAAAAATAAAGAAAGAAAGTTGTAAGAAAACAAAACCAAAACAAAACCATAGACAAACTGATGATTTAAACAAACAAATTAAAGTGAGGAAAACTAATAGTAGAAAGAAATGATAAAATTTTTGGAAAGAGAGAAATCACATGTAAGAAAGAAAATGGCAGAGGTAGGGCCACAAGATGCAAATTATGAGTCAGTGGTACTGATCCACCTTTGATTGGATACCCAATTTGATCAACATAACCATGATTGTGTCATCACTCTAAGATCCATCTTAATATAAATTGTATGTAGCTTATATTAATTAAATGTATGCATGCAGCTATTGACAAATTATCCCAATTACTTAGGTTCTAAGAAAATATACGATACACAAATTTCAGATGAGTAATTTGACTTGACGAATGAATGATTCATATAAAAGTGCAAATTCGATAAATTATCGTTATTATATGTTGATTTCAAAAATATCGTGGTGTATATGGAGATGTTTAAAATTGTTTTTAACTATCTATATACACAATATAATATAGGTTTTCGGTCTATATCACGAAAAAGGAGAACCTAGAATTGCAAAGGAAAACGATCAAACATGTACAAACTTGAGAGTTCTTATATATAACTTAATTTCAAGGTTGGTTTTTTTCTTAGAAGATGTATTGTTTGCCTCATTTTTTCCCGTCAAATACTAATGTTTGAGACTTGAAACTTTTAAACTATTTAATCGATGCGATAATTTATTTTATTAAAGAAAAACGTATATAGTATAATGGAAAATATAAAGACGTTATCGACACACACACAAAAAGAAATATCTTCTTCCTTTTGCTTTTTATCCTTAGAATTTGTAGGCAATCATCATAACACTAAGTCACTAATTCATACACGATGATCAATTAATTTTCCTTAGAGAATATGTTCGTGAAGAAATTTTCTTTAACGAAGCTTTCCTTTTAGATCTATCAAAGTTGTATGTAACTATGAAAGCCCTTTTTTATATATGAAAAAAAAGTTGTATGTAACTTTAATTTTTCTTTTGATGAAGATATTGTTGTAGATTTATCTTGCTTTAATTAAAATTAATTATATCAGACTTTTGCACTGTACACAGAAATGGATCTTCATCAAAGGTAGTGCAGATCCGTAAGCTATCATATCGCTTATTATAAATCAGAAATGACTCATTATTAGAAAAATTATATATTTAATATCAAGACTCATAAAGAAAATATTGAAATAATCGATATGCATTACTTCTACGTAAAACCCACAATAATATATGTTGTTGTGACCCAAGATTGATTTATTCTGGAAACTGTAAAAAACAAAAAAAATACAGTTAATTAAATCAATGGAAGCATAAAGACAAAATCTTGCGAAAGGCTTTTGTCGGTTGCCATGAGTTTTACATATCCCGAAGAAGCTCTGGCTCTCCGAGAATCAACTTTGAGTTCTAATATATATACATATGTAAATTACTATTTTTCTCAAGTTATATGTGATCTGATCTCTATGTACTTTGATGTACACAAAATCAAAATTATAATTTTAATAGAAAATAGGATATATAATATTAGAGATCATGAATTTGCCTCAACCGCTATATTGGAACGGTATACACAAGAGCAACCTCTACCCTTAATATTGGAAGGAGTGGACATAAATATATTGATTAAAAGGATGCATAAACTACACAGATCGATCTGTAAAGGGAATCAAAACTATAAACTGGATCAGTTTAAACTTTTTGAAAGTTTTTTTTTTTTTCAAACACATAGATATTTTATAAATCACTTAATTTCTTGAAAGAACTGTTTACAAAACACGATAATAGTGTCAATGCAACAAAAGCAAATCAAAGAACTAATATAAACAAAATGACAATAAAGTTTGGAAAGATATATTGCGACATAACATTTAAACCATCAAAGGTATTGAGAAGTCCTCTAAACTCAACACCAATAATACTAAAAAGTGAGATTATGCAAAGTGAAATACAGAACATAGCTAGAAGATAACGGAAAAGGAAAAAAATAACAATGTTTACAAAGTCTGTTATTTTGTTCAAATCCGTTCCCTGCACCAGGGAGAAAGTGAGGACATCCGATATCATTTTTTTGTTACTAATCAATTTTCTTAAACCAAAAATTCAAGCTGAAGGCGAACTGAAATCCGGATTGAACACTTCCATATATATGAAGTTATGAACAATATCAATTTTCTTTTAGGCTAAATGCTTACTATGGTTGAACTAGAAATGTTTGAATCAAAACGATTCTTCAATAAATGAGTGTGTTGTTCAATATGTATGAGACAAACTCGAACGAATCTGTGGTGATGATATACAAGGTTAGTCAGCAATCTTGCAAACAGGTTAAAGAAAACAAATCAGTCTTCAAATAAAGATAGAATATCCACATACCGAAAGATATAGATAAACAAGAAACGGACACTTGGAACGTCACAATGTATATATATATATATATGTGCAGATACAATTATATTGTTTGTGTAGATATTACAAATGTAGGTGGAAAGGAAAGTCAAAATCTTGAGCTCCAAAAATCTAGCTACTATGGTATTTCCCGTGACCCAAGGACTTTTCCTTGATCTTCGAAGCTTGAAAATGACACACACTTGAAGATGATCACGTGTTTCGTTCTCATATATTTAATATGCATTGTATTCATTTATAGAGTTACAACTAACAATAGTATCATTCCCTAAAGAGCTTCGCACTCTAGACAAGATTTAGGCTTAATTAGTTCACTACACACACACACACACATCTTTCTCGAGTAGAAAGAGCAATAGTTTTCCATTTTGGTGAAACCTATATTCAAGAAATAAATGAGGAAGATGATACATCCGGTTTAGTTTGTGCAGAATACCAATGACTGACCGGTTTCAATGACCGGTTGAAACAATGAAGCAAAGAAGGAGACAAAAACAAAATAAAGAGGGTTTTAATGGCTAGGAATTTTTTAAAAAGGACATATAGTTCTTGAGCCCAACTTTGTCTCCTCTCTTCCAAACAAATAGTAATAGTTTGGTACGTTTCACATACTGACACATACAAAACTCAAGACGTGTTTGTGTGTATATATGCTTGTGTTTGTATGCGTCGACAAACAAGGTTTTTGTTTTGTTGTAGCTAAATTGAATCAATGATATGAATCAAACAAAAACCTCTAGAAGCTATGTGATGGTCTCGGATCTATGAATGAGTAGTGTACTTAATGTTCAGATAAGTCAAAAACCCATGAAAGGGCTCAGTACTATCACCTTTGGAGATGTTTTAAAACTAGAGAGAGAGAGAGATGAAGGTAGGAGCGAGAGGGAATCTACTAGAAGATACTTTGCAATAAATATCGTCTGACTGTTGCTACCTAACTCCTTCACCCCCACAATCCCATGAGCTTTAACTTCAATTGTGTCCAAGTTTTTGCATAGATATCACAACAGCTCTGTACAACTAGTGGGTTGGTCCGGTTTAGACTGGTTTGGGCAGAACCGAGAAGGGGTGAAGAACTGAACCGAACCAAACTTTTATGAGTTCATCTGATTTAGTTGTTGGAAATGGAACTGAACGGATCAGTGAATGGGTCAAGTCAATTACTTAACAATCTGTTGTTTAAGTCTGGTTTTGTTTAACCAAGTTTTGGATTCACAACAATGGTCGGAAATGAAAGAAGCAAGTTACGTGCCTACGATTAACCTGAAGAAACAGGATCAAGAACCCTAAGTAATTCCAGAAGTCCTAAACCCTACACCAATATTTTGAATTACTGGTCTACATAATAAACCAAGTAATTTCCTCCAAAAACTGACACTTTAACCGCATATGTAAACCGATTTTCCTCCAAAAACCGACACCTAAACCGCAGTAACTTGCTAATACCTAATAGTCATGGGATTGCTTCCTCAAGGCACATGAGAAAACATGGGACTTGAACTTCTCTAGCTCTGTCAGTACTTCATCTTCCGGTCTGTAAATCAAGTCACTCATCCTCCATATCTGCAAAATTGGAAATCATAACGAACTTTTCAATTTGATCGAGATAAATTAATCGTGGTTAAGTTGCAGTAAGTAAGTTTAAAGTACCTGCAATGTACCACCTCCACCATTACTCTCACAGTTTTCAAAAACACTGACAATAGTCCAAGGCTCCAATACGTTCCAGTGGAAGTCGACCACTTTGTCCCTTATTAGAAGATATATACACAACCACAAGGAAATTATAGATTCCACTGAGGTAACTAAAGGGAAGAACAAACAAGAGAATTAGGATCAAGTCTTGAGAACCTGTGACCAGCATGCTGGAAGAAAAGACCAGCAGGGTTTTTGATTGCACGCCCGGACTTCTTGCCGACCTAATATGCACACATATATATTATATGAATATGATGAACTTGAAAGTAAGAGAAAAGTTTTCAATGTGAATCTAAGAAAAGGTACAAACCTTATCACAATCCCATATGTTCAGGAGACTATCTTCTGCACAACTCCCAAAAACAGATGATTTATCAGGAGACCACTGCATTGGTAACAAAGCGGTGTCATTGGAGATGGGTATGCTCATTCACAGGACAAATGATGATAAAAATAAAACAGAGGTATCGGCATGTTGTTGGAACCTGAACAGAAAGAACAGCAGCTTTGTGGCCTTCAAATTTGTAAATAGGAGAACCAACTCCATTTGAGGTCAGGTTTCGGCGGTCAAACACACGGACAGTGTTATCTGCTGACCTGTATATATATATATATATATATATATATTTGCGTGTAATAGAGTGAGAGAACGAGTAGCAACTGTGTACTTTTGGACAAGCACTTGAGTGTGTAAAACAAGTACCCTGTCAGGATCAGATTGTTGTCATGGGGATTCCAATCGACACAGTGAATATCAGCATCATGTGCCTTCTCAACCTGCCAGAACACAACAAGAAACAGAGGAAATCTGAAACAAGACCAAAAAGGTTGAACCTCAAACTTCAATATGGTTCAAAAGAGAGGTACCTTCATGGCAGGACCTGTGCCAGTTCGTGCATCCCAGAGTAGAAGGCAAGAGTCGTCACCAACACTGCAGAATTCCTGCGCACTGCAGGACAAACAAAAGCATCAGGAAAGTCCGAGTATTTATGCATTTATGTGTAACTAAAATGAAGAGCCTAATAATCTAAGAAGGAGGGTTTTCCAAGAAGTTACCTAGATGGACAGAATGCCACATCTTCAACTGTGTCTTCGTGGCCATGATATACACCTCGAGGGACAACGGAGCGACCACCAGTTTTATCGCTACCTTCACCAGTCTGTTTGATGCTAGAACCAGGGGATTTGGAATCCGTACCAGCTGTTGTGATATGGTCTTGGATACTCCACAAAACAACCGACTTGTCCTTGCCTGCGCGGAAGAATCTTCGATGAGAAACTTGCAAACCACAGGATAGGACATGAAGATAGCGCGATACAAACCTCCAGAAAGAACAAAGGGTTCGGTTGGGGACATTGCAAGAGCAAATTCAGCATTGTCCTGGTGTCCAGTAAGTATCTGCAAATTAAAGTTGTTCAGATGATGCAGAAGCGGTGTTTAGACACAGTTGGACAACTTTATGAAAAAAATCTCCTAAGAGAGCGTACCAAATCAGGACGAGAATGTGGAGCTCCAAGCACAGCATACCGATCTGGTTGAGTCTCAGTGTCCCATATGAGAACCTGAAAAGCAATATATCATGACTGGAACTACGTCCAAGAAAGAGAAGGATGCTAGATAAAGAGAAAAGAAAGCAACTATATTTTTCAGGCTGAGTGACCTGAGAAAGCAGAGCTTACATCAGGACCGTCGGTGTGAGTAGCTACGATCTTACTGTTTTGTGGCAGTTCCCTGATTCTGTTGACCTGCGATTAATGAAGCGTACAGCATCATGAAGTCTTTTGCAGTAATCAAAGCCCTAAGTTAGATACAGATTCAGTTTATGCATTGAATCCATCTAAGATATGACAATCATTATACAGGAATATCTCTTGAAGGAGTGGAAATCACACCTCTCCAGGGTGGATGATGGTCTTGTACTTCTTCACAAATGGAGAGCATGCTTCTACATTACACTGATACAGAAGAAGCAGAATTTCAAAAATTTCATCTTATCAGAGAGTAACACAAAGGACAAAAGCTCAAGATTTGGTAGAAGAAGAAAACTAATTACCTGCCTCTTAACAGCTTCGCATTTGGCTATGACCAAGGTATAAGGCACACTGCCATCAGTCTAGTAACAGAAACAAAACAAAAAAACAGAGTAAACATTAAGAGAAATAGACAAAATTTTAAACTTGAAGCGTTATATTTTTGATTTTCTCAAGATAGAATGTATAAACTACAAGAAAAAGTGCAAAACCCACTTGTTCCGAGAGATAGAGACGCTGCTGATTCTTAGAAGCTGCTTGCTCAAACTGTGGCCCCCATCTGTTCAAATCAAACAACAGTTACAACAAATCGAACCTCTTTACACAAAAGCTTAACACTTCACCAAATCTTAACACAGCTACAAAACTGAAACCTGAAATGTCCTTAGAAATCAATAATAGCGGACAAAGTAACAAGACACAACACTATAACCAAGTCGAACAAGTGTAATCAACGACCACCAGATCATTCTCCTATCAAAACATTAGATATCTAATGAACTAACACCAAAGTCGAACATTTCAAATATCAAACCTTAAGACTCATAAAGGCATGTAGACTGACCCAAATCATAAAATGTATAAAACCAAACTAGAACATGTCATATTGCTACCAAAACAAAACAAGAAAAAACCATCCATTTATCAGTTTTTGACTAGTTTAACTAAAAATGCGTTTCAGTCGCCTGACCCAGGAACAAGGTTGGTTTTTTCTTTGGCAACAGGGATACACTTTCTCCGAAACCAAAGATCAGAGTAAATAAAAAACACGAATAACGAAAAATCGAAAAACCCTAGAGCAGAAAACAAAAAGCAAAATCTCAGACCTGCAAGAGAGAGAAGGCCAGACGAGGCTATGGTTTGAGAGCGAATCATAGAGAATGGGAACAAGAGTCTTCCACTGAGAGTACTTGTCGTCAACATTGGGTTTGTGACTCTTCTTCTTCTTCTCGTTGCTTCTCTGCTGCTGTGACGATGGTGACTGATACCCGTTGTTGCTCTTAGGTTTCCGACCTCTCGTCTTCGGTCCAGTGGCCGTCGCCGGAGTCCCAGCTTCTTGTCTCGGCGTGGTGACTTGAGCAGTCGCTGCTACTTCACTCTCCATTTTCTTTCTTTTTTTTTTGTTCCCTTTCCTTTGTTTCTTTTTTTCGTTTTAATATTATATATTCAGATTCTGTCCTTTTCAATGCCACGTGGCGGACACTTACAGGTGAGTTTGTTCTTAAACATAAAGATTCTTACCTAAATCTTTGGTTAAAATTAATACAACTAAACGACGCAAATGCTGTTTCAATTAATTGCACATCCAGACTCCGTTAAGCGTTCAAAAGCATAATATGAGATAATCTATTGCAACTTGGTATTTAAAAAGCAACTCTCAAAGTCTAACATTCATCACTCTGATTTCAGTTTAACAAAACAAAAAAGTCTCTTTTTTTGGGTTCATTGAACTAGTTGGGAATAGTATTGAAGAAGAAGGATCAGACATAAACACCACTAGCAAGTAGCAAAAACAACGATCCAAAGCCCTGCGATTACAGAGAGAAACAGATTTCAACTCAACAAACGGTTTTAAGACAAACTATTAAATGGTTAAGAGGACGAAGAAGAGAAAAAGCCATACCAAGAAAACAGATGCAACTGCTGCAGTTGCGAGCTCCTTCACGAGGCTTCGGTTTTTCCTGGAAGATGTAGCTTCATAGCTGCATCAGAAATGTTATGACGGAGTAAGTTAAAAAAAAAAAAAAAAAAAACAATTTGATCACTCCTTGTTGGACTGAATCTAAACCAAGACTGCAGATAAGAGTCAGATATGGCCGGACTACAAAACAAAAAACTACTAATGAATGGTTCAAGTCTGTCTCAAAGGTTTTCACTTGAGGCTAACGTAGCCAAAGACGACACACTACTTCAGCAATCTGAATCAAATCTCCTAGAACTTGCCATTGTTTTTGAAAGGTTAAGGCTCCTTGCTATAATGAGAGCTTTACAAATCTAACTTTCTAGTATGTCAGCTAAAACGATGATCTCGACCATTATGTTACATTCAAGTACTGATTCCGTAGACTATAAGGATTAATTGATATGTTCGAGTCTGTAACATCATGACAGGATATAGAATTCACTGATCACACATGTGCATTTTACCAGAAACCTTAGTATAAGAAAAGCACTCATCATTCAACAAAAAGATTTTAAAGAGGGATAATTTTATCTAACAAAGAGATCATGAAGTTGATGAATTTGTAGATTCTGGAGCTTTAATAAGCCTACCGAGAGACTAACAATCGAGAATGCACTGAGACCAGAAACCATATATAAGCGCTACAGAAATGTTGGTCAAGCTTCAAATACAGTGAAGCTACAACAAGTGGAGATCCTAACCTTCATTTGCTTTTCAGATTAACGCATGATTCATAACTCATAACCTAGTCATGGCTAACAATTGAGAGATTGCTCTAGAAATTCGAAATTCTAGTCAAACTTTGGGAAAATTAAGATGAATCATAAGCATATCGAGTCAATCGGAAACTCTCACTGATATACCAATCAAGCAACAGAACACTAATTGGGGGAATCTAGAAATCGGATCGAGTTTAGCTTACATGAAGAAGAAAGCGGTGATGACGAGGCCAATCGCCAGAGTGAACACCGACAAAGTCGGGTACATCGCCACCGGAATCGGACTCGCAATCGGTTTCGCCGCCTTCTCACCGGAAAAGAACATCAAAAAAAAGGAAATTGTAAGTAGAAAAACGAACAAATTTACAGTGATGTAAAATACTTATACGGATCTGGACTCACCATTTTTGCTTTGAAAGATCTCTCCGTCGTTCTTCGTTTCGATCTGAGGAACAAGGAGAAGCGATTTTGAAGCACTCTCTTTGACTGATACTCGCTCTTACACACACGAGTCGTTCCCGGTTTGGACCGGACCGGTTTACAGAACTTCGGATTTTATGGGCCCGTTTTGCTAAAATTGTTTCGATTTAATAAGCCCACGACTGCTTGGAAAAGGCCGCTGGGTAAAAACGGTGTTCATTGGTCATGTCCTCTATAAACTCTACAAGTAATGTAAAAAAAACTATATAAATTTAAAGTATCATCAAGACATTGTTGGATAAAAATTCTAGATCTATTTATTTGTTTTCTCATGACGAGTTACAAATCTATAATCCTTCATCTTCCGAATTGATGTGTTAGAATGAACCGATATGGTTGTGATTATCATTTCAAAATAAGTTTATCAAAAGTATTATCTAAATCGTCTGATTAATTTAACTTTGCATGCTAAACAATAAACACTTAACATTGATTAATATACAAACCTTCCGTGTGAGAGAGGCACATAGAATTTTCTTTGTAGGCCGTCATATAATCAAAGGGACGGCGCGAGTCGGTGATATCCTTCGTGTGCTTCACTCTCCAACAGAGAAGTTAAGTGAGTTGAAATCTAAAAAGTCTTATTTTTAATTCGATTTAAATATGATACATAAACTTGTAATTAACCGTCGACAACTCAATAATGGATATAGTTTTTGATTAAACAATCCAAATTAAATGTCTGTCTCACTTTGCATGTGATGCTTTGTGACGACGAAATGGAGAAACTCAAGTTCGAGGTGAAATAAGCCTTTTGCATTCTCACGCTACTTGCGTATATATGTGTTTCAATTCTTTGCGAGTCATATTGTTTACTATAACAAAATTTTCGGAAATTTTATGTTTCCAAATTAGTTAGACACATAAAACACACGGTTTAATGATGTTATTATATAGGATATATGTATTAAAAATTAATTATTAGTCTAATAAAACAAGATACACAATTATTCTGTATAATCTATACTACTTTTCTATATGATCATTCAAAAATATTTCAATATTCTAGATTTTAGAAGTCAACCATATATCCAAATGACTTTCTAATTTTTAGTATAGTTTCATGGAAGAGTTTAAAGTTATGTTTGTTATTGGACTAACTTAAAAAAAGTATTAACTGCAAACACTATTGGGTGAAAAAAAGAGTTATCTATAAACCGGCCCACAGACTATAGGAGTTTGGTCGGTTTCCACAAATTTCAATTTTACGTAACTACATCAATATGCTTTATATAATAAATGATAAAAGTCAAATGGAACTACCTCAACTCAATGCACTAAATTTTATTTTTATATATAATATTTATCTGTATTTCTATATCATATTACAGTAATGTATATATAAAACATAACTTTAAAAGACAGAAATGTGAAATTATTTATCTAAGACCCAAATTCATTGCCCAGTAGGGAGCCAGTAGTACAGTATATGAAGAATTAAATGTTTCCGTAAATCTTACTTCTAAATTTCTCATTGTGTGTACTTTTAGCCTAAATTTTCAGGAAATAATTAAATAAGATATAAACTTAGTTGTTATGAATTATTCTTTGTATTATCAATTCCTTCATTATTGCACACGTAAAATTATAGTATATGCCTGAAGTACCAATTATACAGTCTTTTAAGTGACAAAAAAAAATTGGAGGATTAACGAAAATTAAATTGATATTTTTTATAATATTGTAATGAATATTTGTGAGTTATATGCAGTAGAATATTTCAATATTTTTTCACAAAATATAATATAGTTTTGAGTTATAGTTTGGACTTTGGACGAAGGAAACTTTTTTTTTGGCGTCAACAAAACTTGTATATCAACATCAACAAAATCACGTAAAGATATTCACGTGCCGATTATTACATTATATTATACATAGGCTCTCCATAAGTGGTTCTATATATCTCCCATACTTCTCCTATAACTAATCTCCATACTAATTCCATAATCAATAAGACAAGAATAGTAATATCTCACCCTCCGTCTCGTTTTCTCCTTCACCTTCCACATTAATTAGATAATGAATACTAATCTCGGTTTAAACATCATCACTCTAGTGACGCTATTGATAAATTTAACCCCGGCCTTAGTCAAATCAGAGGAAGGCATTGATGTCCTTTTACCCATATCACTCAACCTCACCGTCCTAACCGATCCCTTCTCCATCTACACCGCTTCTCACGACTTCGGTAACATCACCGACCAAAACCCCGGCGCTGTCCTCTGCCCTTCCACCCCCGCAGAGGTCGCCCGTCTCCTCCGATTCTCTTACGGCGGGGACTCAACCAGCACCTCACCGGGTTTCACGGTGGCTGCTCGCGGCCAAGGCCACTCTCTTCGTGGCCAAGCCTCCGCACCTGGCGGTATAGTCGTGAACATGACGTGTCTCGCCAAGGCCGATAAACCAGCGGCAGTTGTTGTCTCAGCCGATGGGACTTACGCTGACGTGGCGGCAGGGACGATGTGGGTGGAGGTTTTCGAGGCGGCGGTGCAGAGAGGCGTATCGCCGGTTACTTGGACGGATTATTTGTTTCTCAGCGTCGGCGGGACGTTGTCGAACGCTGGAATCGGTGGTCAGACCTTTAGACACGGCCCTCAGATTAGTAACGTTCATGAGCTGGACGTTATTACCGGTACGAGATACAAACTTCACTTATTTCATTACATTTTTTTATTGATTTATATTTACGTTATTAAGTATATACTAATTGTATGGCTCTAAGAACGAAGTTGTATATATGGCCTTCTAGAAGCTACAATTCTTTTTTGTCTGCAAGCTACAATTGTAATGAGATCTGAGTTAAAAACTACTGTGTGGACATTTTTTTAACTACAAATTTGATTCTTGAGGTAAACTTACACGCCATAATCAGTATGGACCCAAGATTTAAAAACTTATTTTTTTGGTCAGAAAGAAAGATCTTTCACTAGTAGTTATGTTGATTTATGATTATTATTTAATATGTTGACTTTGTTTTTTTGTTCGTAATATATTCTTAATTCCAGGAAAAGGTGAAATGGTGACTTGTTCTCCACAGCTAAACCCTGAATTGTTCTATGGAGTTTTAGGTGGTTTGGGTCAATTTGGTATTATAACGAGAGCCAGAATTGCGTTAGGTCATGCACCAACAAGGGTATGTATCATTAAATAATGTAATTTATCTGCAAAAAATCAACATTATAAATAAGGTGGTGGTCTTAAATCTAGTAAATCAAGTTGGATTTGGACGATGGATTGTACGTGGAAGTCAAAAGGCTGATTTTGAATTAAAAACTAAAACATTTGTTGAATAAAATCTAATATTGCTTGTTTATTATAAGATTCTGCATAATCAATCCTAGGACTTGCTCGAGTATAATCTTGTCTTATGCTTGCAAATCTTCTTGATGTCAATATATAATCAATTTTTATCCTATTTTCCACGTAAATCTTATATATATCATTCAAATTGGTAAAGAATCTGTACAATAGTCTTTAGATAAATCATAAAAGTGATGTCGCTTGCACCTATTTTATATGTTATTTCTCTTCTTTGTTTCTCATACTCATAATTCGATCGATCTTATATAACATGTTATGATTTATAACATATCGTATATATGATTTAGATCGATAACTTGCTTATCGCTATAATAATTCAAAGTTCTACGATTTATGTTTCTTCTAAGGAAAAAATATTAAACCGCGCATAAACTTACAAACATGCTACTTTATTTTTTACACCAACAAATTAAATGGATTAATTTATGGATGTATGTTGATATAAACTTTTATTTTGATAACCGATATAATTAAGTTGATATAAAATTATGCAGGTCAAGTGGTTACGCATACTCTACAGTGACTTCTTGGCTTTTACAAGAGACCAAGAGCGTTTAGTATCAATGGCCAATCATTTTGGAGTTGACTTTTTGGAAGGTCAACTGATGATGTCAAACGGTATCGTAGACACCTCTTTTTTCCCACTCTCCGATCAGATAAGAGTCGCCGATCTTGTGAATGACCACCGTATCATCTATGTTCTTGAAGTAGCCAAGTATTATGATAGTACCACCCTTCCCATCATCACTCAGGTACTATATGCACACATGACTTTCATACATACATACTCTCCCTTCATCACCATCATCACTAATCGTATGAAGCACAACATCAAATGATAATTTTTTTCATTCAAATACTTATAACAAAAAATGATATAAATGAATCATTTTCATGCACTACAGTTTTCAATCATACAGATCCATCGACCAGCATCATCATGAAATGCACTGCGACCATATCATAACATATGCTTATTGTCATTGACTAACCCATATTTTTTTTTTCTTTTTATTGTAGCTGATTGACATATTAAGTAGAACTCTAAGTTTCACTCCCGGGTTCATGTTCATGCAAGATGTTCCTTATTTCGATTTCTTGAACCGTGTCCGAAATGAAGAAGATAAACTTAGGTCTTTAGGGTTATGGGAAGTTCCTCATCCATGGCTTAACATCTTCGTCCCGAGATCTCGAATACAAGATTTTCATAATGGTATTATAAAAGATCTTCTTCTCAACCAAACCTCAACTTCTGGTGTTACTCTCTTCTATCCCACAAACCGAAACAAGTAAGCATTCTCTTTTTTTTTGTGGACTTTAGATGTTATATCACATTAAATTATGTTAACATGATAATTTGGTATACATAGATGGAACAACCGCATGTCCGCGATGATACCGGACGAAGATGTTTTTTATGTGATCGGATTTCTGCAATCAGCTGGTGGATCACATAATTGGCAAGACCTCGAAATTCTCAATAACAAGATAATCCAGTTTTGCGATAACTCGGGCATTAAGATTAAAGAATATTTGATGCATTACACTAGAAAAGAAGATTGGATAAAGCATTTTGGAGCAAAATGGAGCGATTTCTTGAGGAGGAAAATGATGTTTGATCCCAAAAAGCTATTGTCTCCGGGACAAGACATTTTCAATTAACTTATATACAGTGTATCTTAAATAAACTTTTTAATTAAATTTAGAACGTTTCATAACATGCGCCAAAGACATGTATGTTCATATATACCTATCTAACTAAAATATAGTTCATAGCAAAAAAAAAAAAATTAATATATAGTTTTTGTTTCCCTCTTATTTTGAATGTCCATGCATGTCTTTAATCTGTTTTGTTGACGTATACAATGTTGTTAGTCAATAAAAAAGGCAAATATATTGTTGTCTCTCTGAAAATTAAGAATGAAGAATGAACTATGTATAATTTTGCCCACAAATACAACCAATCTTTTTTTATTTTATTACATCAATCATTCATTCATTCTTTTCTTTTCTCAGAAAAACGGAAACGGCATGCATGCTATATTGCCCACATAGGAAACGGAGCGTGTTTTGGAAAGTCACTTGAACTATCCTGAACGACGTCGCTTTTAGGATTGCTGGATGGTACACGTGCGAAATTCATCCATGGCGCCGTGTCAGTTCCCAGTGTCCACAGTCTACACTGTTTCCTCTTCCTTTCAATCCCGTCGTCCTCAAGCTCTAGTTTCCCCTTTCGCAGTCGCAGACCAGATTTCATAGCTTTAATCACGCAATTCGATTTAAGACCCGAGAATTGAGTGTCATCGGAGCCGCCGCCATTGATATCGACACTCGTCCGAGAAAGAAGAAGAAGAGAAACAGAAAAACCGGGTTTTTTCGAAGAGATTTGTGGTCAATCGTCTTTCCGGATCAGCCCTAAAGCAAGGAGAGCAAATTCAACATCATGAAGGAAAAGAAGACGAATCCGTCTTCTGGGTATGGTGTATCTGATAAGAAATCCGATTCCAGTCGCCGATACTCGACGAGTGAACATTCAAGTTGCGGTTACATGTCTGCTCCGTTGGTTGTTAATAAATTATGGGTCTAAAGCATTTGAATTTCCGTCAAGCTCCGAGCAGGAAATTCGAGTTTCGATAATGGTTTTGATGTGAATAGATATAAAAGGGATAACGATTCTAGCGATAGAGATGTATATCAGTAGAGAAGAAAGAGATTCAGATTAAGGGAAAGACAGAGAGAGTTGTACCAGAACATGAGCTGAGAAGGCTGAGGAATGTAGCTTTGAGAACCAAAGTAGGTTCTGCAGGAATCACGCAGGCGCCCGTCGAAGCCGATCACGAGAAATGGGAGGTTGATGAAGTCGTGAAGCCAGAATTTAGTGAGCCCTTTTCTCATAACATGAAGAGAACTCACGAAACTGTGGAGGTCAGATTCGAATCTGTCAATAAAGGAATGATCTTTCTGCATAATATTTGTTGTTGTGGTGTGTATCAGAAGAAAAGGAATGACCTTTCTGAGTAATGTTTGTTGTTGTGGTGTGTTACAAAAGAGGATTAGTGATATGGAGGTCAGGAAGCTGATGCAGGACGAGGACAGGGAAACCCACAAGAAAAGTGATGGAGAGGAAGAGAACTTGTATTTGAGAGTCGAGATGAATCTGAGTTTTCTTCTGGCGAGGTAAAACGAAATCCTTATGAAGGTTCTTGATTATGATTTGAAGATTTTATTCGAGAAACATGGCATCTCTGAAATGGGATCTTGTATAGCAAAATGTAACCCGAAACTGCGTATTCTTTTATTATGAAGTTTCGGTTACAATAGATCAAACGGAGCAGAAAAGAAGTACAACATGAGCATATTTAAGCCATTCATTATTTCATGTTTCATCACATTTGCTTGAAAGCACTCACTTCACACACATTAAAATTCCTCCAGGTTCCAACTAAATTAAAGAATGAAACATTTGCTTGAAAGCACTGACTCCTTCACATTGGCCAAAGTTGAATGTTCAACAAGCCCTGTGCGATCCATTTTGGTAGAGAGATTTATGAAGCCTAGGAGTGATGAAGAGTTCAAGAGGAGTGGCTTTGTAATTAGCGAAACCATTGTTCTCGATCATGTCCACATCTTGGCCAGACGGTGTTGCTAGGTCAAAGCTGTGCAGGAACCTTGCCAGGAGATATTGCACCATCGTCATACCAAGGGGGATCCCGGGGCACGCCATTCGTCCCAACCCGAAGGGTGTTAACTTGTAGCTCTGCCCTCCAACATCCACTTCTCTATCTGATGTCAAGAACCTCTCTCGCTCGAATGCTTCAGGGTTGGACCAAAGATTCGGATCCCTCTGAATCTTCCACGTATTTACCATCAACTCTGTCCCTGATTATAACAAAAAAAACTATTGCATGTCATTAGACTATAAAAATGTATGGTGAATATTCGCAAACCCTGCAAGCGTTTTTAAATTTGAGATTCCTCATGTTTGATCAATGTTGAGGAATTATATAACCTGTAGGAACATGAAAGTTTCATTGGCGATGTCGAAGTCTTCCATCACAACCCTGTAAGGGGTGAGAGTAGCTGGTGGGTACAAACGGAGTGTCTCCTTGACGATTGCTTGGAGATAAACCAAATCTTTGAGGTCAGATTCTTCCACAGCTCTGCTCTCGCCAATGGTGCGTTGTAACTCTTCCTGAGCTTTCTTCAACACATCCGGGTTGTTCGCGAGTAGGGAAACAGCCCAAACTAGAGTCACAATGGTCGCCTGGGTCCCTGATAGCACCAAATTCTTGGAGGTTTACATACAAAATAACATAAATATTATTAGTTCAATTTTTGTTAGACTTGATCATATCAGGTTAGAGTTGTGTGAGGTCTTACGAGGCATAGGGACTTGATTGTTTTATGACCACCATCATCAAGACTTGGATTATCTTGTTGCTCAAAAACCTCAAGGAGTAGATCCAAAAGGTTCCCACCAGAAACAGAATCCTTCCTCTTCTTCTTGTGTTCTTCAATCCAAGCTTCAAGAAGTTCATCTAACGCACTAGCCGTCCTCTTCATGTCCCTCTTAGTCCTCCACTCCAACCAACCAAGAGGTGGTACTAAATCTGATAGCAGGTAGAGCCCGAAGTAATCAACAAAGTCTCGGAACAGCTTACCACATCTCATTGCCTCTCCGATTTCGCAGTTGGGGCTTGCTCCGTAATATCTCTTCCCGGCGATCATCATCAGCGAGAAGTTTTTGATCAAATCATGAAACTCTTGGCTCATATCCACCAAGACTCCTTTTTGAGACCCACCCTTTTGCTCCCATTGTCGGTACAGCTCTCCGAACGCCACATCAACCTCTCCGGCTCTACTATGCTCGGTCCTATCAACGACCGAGGTAAGCACGGTCAGGGGTAAACAACAACAACGACCGAGGTAAGCACGGTCAGGGGTAAACAACAACAATGAGTCGTCGTAGCCCAAAATCTTGGACGCAGTAGTGGGGATTGGTCGCTTTAAGACCTTGTCGTGGACTGTGAAGATCTCTTTGGCCACCTCAGGGCTGCTTATGACAAGGACACTGGTCCGTACACGTCGGCCATGTCCCCGAACGTATGGTTGCTCTGCTTTCCGTTGTCAAAGGCCCTTAAATGGCCTATCAATGGCCATCCTCCAGGAACCATAGGCGCCATACGTTTCTTGTTCTTGGGACGACGCAGAGACTTCATTAACAGGTACGAAACTGGAAAAAGAAAGAGGGCAAAGAGAAGAAGAAGCTGAATTATATCCATATTTGATTCTACCTACCTTCTGTCGATGATACTATTGGGTGCTTACTTATGGAGAATATACCAGCTCTTAATATATATAGTGGTCGTATCTTTAATAATAGAATATATAAACCCGATTGATTTAAATGTTCATGCAAACTCTTCCTAGTGACTAAAATCTAGCCGGACTTTGCTGCAAGAGAAAACAAAAACAAAAAATTCTCCATCCATGAGATGTGGTAGACTCATATATATGTTGCTTAAAACCGAAATATCTCCATATATTTTAGCTTCACGACAAATGATTATACAATTTGAAACAGGTTTTGAAATGCTGGTTTGCAAAATTTACCAGCACTTAAGTTTACAAGTTGTAAATATGAGAGTAGAAAACGTTCAAAAAAAAAACAAAAAATGAGAGTAGAACAGTTTTTAACCACTTAGGTTTACAAGTTGTAAATTACAACCATAGATAATATTTTCTATGAATATTTGATCTAATGTTTTTGGTATCGTTTCTATACATCCTAAAACTAATAAACTATAGCCTCAATAATTATATTCTATAACTGTAGCGCTGAATCAGAAAGAATAATTTAGTGTATTTATTCACTTTTAAAGAATTGGCTCCCTTTTAAATTTAAACGTCTTTTAGCCTTTCTTAATTTTTCCAATTAATAACACTAACCACTATATATTTTTTGTGTCGAAGACCACAAACCACTATAGTATATCAGTATTAATTGTATATCTGTACTAACTACTAACGACACACAAAAACAAATATAAGAAAATCTTCCCACGCTCTGGACGTTGCTGTCAGCAAACAAACAAATATTAACATATTAAAATAATATATAATCATTAAATTTTGGTTAAAAGTGATCATATGATTTCAAATCCGCAAACTTCCAATGCTACCTGTCTCCACTGAATTAAACACATTTGTGAAAATAATAATAGAAAACCTGAAATTTCAGGGTTTGGTGATCCCTGAGAAAATGCGATTTTACAATGTTCTATTAGCACGAAACTGTAAAAAAATTAATTATATTTTCTTAAAACGAGATTCCAAAATCTTTCACTTAAAGCATAATTTATTATTGTCGCCTACCATGCATGTTAATCATTATTTTGCTTCTACATTGGAGTTGTTAAGATTTGTTGTCTATCAAATTAGAATCGAATTGCATTATAGAAGTTTATCTATTTCTTTTATATTCCTAAACACTTTCATCAGCCTTGAAGTTGTGCCGGAGTGAGAAGAGAGCTAATTTGTGAACTATGAGAGTAGAACTATTTTTAACCACTTAGGTTTACGAGTTGTAAATATTTGATAATTTGATCTAATGATTTTGGTATCGTTCTTTTAATCCTAATATTAATAAACTCTAACCTCAATAATTATATTCTATAACTCTAGAACTGAATCATCAACAATAAATTAGTGTATTCCTTCAATTTTGAAAGAATTGGTTCCCTTTTCAATTTATACGGTTTTTAGCCTTTCTTTCCAAATTATAACACTATATTATTGTTTGTTTGTTAAAGACCACTAACCACTATATTATGGTTAGTTGTTCAGTATTTTGCTTTTTACATTAGATTTGTTAAAGTAATAAAAATAGTTACGGGTACCATCTGTAACGACACAAAAAACAATGTAAGAAAATCCTCACACGCTCTAGACGTTGCCGGCAGCAAACAAACAAATATATTTATTTTGCTTTTACATAAGAGTTGTTAAAATTTGTTGCCTAGATTAATTATATATTTTCTTAAAAAACATAATTATTAATAAAAAAAACAGCAGTAGCTTTCATAATAATCTGTTTCGAATTGGTATAAATGATATATAAATGGGAATAATAGTTTGGTTTCTGAATAGTTCTAGAAGAATAGATGAAAAGAATATGTTTACTTACTTTTCTATTTGGTATATCCTTGGCATTCAAAATACAAAGCCTTACAAATTAGCATGAAATGTTCAAAGCTACATTTATGATATTATTTATGTAAACTTGATACCTCTGATTCAAAAAAATTAACTGTTTTAGGTATCAAGTCTGTGATAGAAAGAATTATTAATAAAAAGCTACCTAATTGTTAATGAAAGGCTGCGCGAGTATGGTATCCGTTGATAAAACATTTTTGTTTTCCCGAATAAAATATCAGAACCTGTAGCAAAATGTAACTCGAAACTGTATAACGCTTGTGCGATTGCAAGATCAAACGTAGAGGAAAACAAAGCAGAAAAGAAATACAACATAAGCATATTTAAGCCTCCATTTATTCAGGCATTATTCTTGTTTCATAATATTTGCTTGGAAGCATTCACTCACATAAAACTTTATTCATACCATCCATACCAACTAAATTAATTCGTATCACCCAGATAAAGTTTGTTCATACCATCCATTTCTTGCTTGAACTCAATCATTGCATCTCTTGGCAACGTCATGATCACTTTAACTCCACCTTCCATTGATGCATCCAATCCTGAAGGTTTCAAGATCATCCCTATATGCAATGAACTCCCCCGCTCGGTCAACGGCCGCAGATTCACAGGCTCATTCCAACCAAAATCCATCGATCCGAACCAACCAATATTCCTCCAATCCGTCAAGAACAATAGTCCGTCGCTTGCCCCTTCGAATCTCGCATTCTCCCTTATCAATCTCTCAGTGTTCTTTAGCTCTTCCTCCAGATAGATCTTGTCATAGGCTGTTTTCTTGGCTTTCTGCACACGCTTGGCGATGTCAGAGATTGATGCTTCTTCGAGTTCTCTCACGGTTAACTCCACATAGACATCTATGTATGCGTTACCGTAGAACCCTTGAGGAAGTGGTGGGTCTAGAACATGTCGGATTCCAACAGCTACGCCAAGGACAGTGATCCCCTCAGGGTTTAGTTTTAGGGCTCGAGATCTTGCTTTCCATACGCAAGAACAAAGTACTTCATAAGTAGTGAAACTCTCTTTAGTGAACTCGCACTCTCTCATCAAAGAGTCTTTAAGCCTCTTTATACTCGCAGCCCGAATGTTAATTATCTCCGTCACCTGTTGGGTAAATAAACAAAATGACATCAGTTTTGCTAAATATATATTACCAAATTACAAACCCTTGTCAAAAATAAAATACTAAGAAATTGAATCACAAAATTGATGGAGTTAATTGGAGAACAGCAGACCACATCAGTAGTTGGAATGTAAGGTGAGGTGGCCAAAAGACTAGCAATGTCGCCGCCAGGCACTTTGGCCGGTTCATTATCAAATTTTCCGACCAACCGCTCTCTCTGCCACACAGGCATCACCGATGGCTCGCTCTTTCCCGCAGCCAACTCGGTTAAGGCATGGATGATCTGAGCCACACCGAATCCATCACAAACGGCGTGCGTCAGTGCGGTGCCAATGGTGAATCCTCCGCATGCAAACTTGGTCACCTTCAAAAATATAAAAGGGAACAATAGGTTATTTAATATATGTGTTATCCACATTATTACGTTGAATGCAAAATTCCTTGAAAGATTCTGAGTTTTTTAGATATTCTTATTATCTTCAAGAAAATGATTTCTTTCATAAACAAATTTCGTAGCAAAGAACGATATCTATAATCTTGCAATATATCAAGAAAATAAAAAGCTACCTGCAAAGCTAGAGGATGATAACCAACGTTGCTATCATAGTCTATTTCGATTTCAGGCACAAGGCGCAAAGCAACTTGGTCATCAAGGTTCTCTATATATATAGTTTAGAGAGGAGAGGTCAAGAGATGCGGTAGCGACCTCAAATGGAACTCCCTCACCTCGAAAAACCAGCTGAAGTTTTCGATCACTCTCTCGTCTCATTAGCTTGCCTGAAAGGGGATAGTAGTACACAAGAAGTTCGGACAAAGCCTTCCTAAGCAAAGGGACAGGATCATTTTGGTTCTTTTCATTGGCTTTGAAAACGTAAATCGTTGCGTACATAACTTCATTGAAAAGATCGTTGTCTAAAGTTGAAAGGTAGAGAATTTCGGAAGGGGTGTGTTTCGAGGGTTTAACAAGCTCAACTGATTTCTTTTCGAGTAATAGAGGAAGGTTCAGTCTTGTTTGGTTTGCCATTGCTTACCAAGTTTAAAATGTATTCTATAATGTCTCCATATGATGTTTATATAGCCAAGTTTAGAACGTATAATATTAAATCAACGTTCGATCCTACTTTTATAGTTTTATAGACCAGAATTTTAACAACTCTGAATTTGTTAAACAAAAATATGACCACCAAGGCACCTAATCCTAATATATTATCAATCAAATGTGCGAGTCACATAACAGAGTTATTATTTCTGTTCAATATTTGTTATAATCAAATATAGAGATGATAAAAAAAGTTTAGTCCTTTTTATATATATATAAAAAAAAACTGCGTATATTTCTGAATAATTCTTTACAGAGAACGTCACTAAATTCTTTATACAAGGATTGACTATATACAACCCTAAACATAATAAACCTATACAAATGCAAATAGGTCCAATAAATTCAAATTTTTTTTTTTTTACTTCTATGGACAAAAGAATTTTTAACAGCTCAGATGTAAAAGGAAGATAATAATCACCTAGCCCTAACATATACTTATATAGTACCAGTATTATTTATCTTGTAAGCTGTGAATCGCATGGTGGACTGATTTGGCGAAACACCGTAGAAATTGATTTAGCCAAAATAATGCAATTATGATTTTGGTGAAAATTTTGGATTTTGTTTTGAAAATAGCATATAATTATTTTTTGGCATAAAATTGTGCAATTTCATGATGACAGAATATTAGAAACTCGCATATTTGGTGAAATTTGCCAAATCTTGTTTTTATTATTATATCATACTAAAATAAATTGCAGTGGAGAGACAAATATAATCTTTTTTTTTTTAAATTATTAATCTTTCAAAGGAGTATTTGGCAGTTTGCGGAGTTTAAATCATGATAACTTAAACAAACTAAAACTTACATGTATTATTTGATATAAAAGTTTAACACATGATTGACAGTGGTATAATTGTTTGTTTGTTGAAATGTTTCTGATAGTAACGTCTACAGCATGTGAGTTCTTATATTATATATAGCCATGTTTAGAACGTATCATATTAAATTAACGTCCTCTTCGTTGTAGCGACAAATGATACCGACCGGCAATATTAATTCATGGAGTCGGTTAGCAAATCATGATCATTAAACCAAACTAAAGATTATGAATTATTATAATTTTATATCTGAACACATAATTGACAGTAATATAATTGTTTGTTAGTACATTTGTTATATATATGTTTGGTATAGTGTTGTTGAGTGTTGACAATTGTAGATGGTGTCCGATTCTACCTTAATAGACAAAAAGAGATTCTTGTAACAGCTGTAATGTAAAAGCAAAATATATAACACAGTGACCTTTTTGTTCGGAAATTTATTAAGCGAGTTTTTCAAAAATCAAAAATAAATTAAAAATCGGACACCATCTGTGTAATGTCAACACTATACCAGTATATACTGTAAAAACTGTATATATATAGTACAAGTACTAACAAACAATTATCTTACTGTCAATCATATGGTATAGTGTACTAAAAATCAAAAATAAATTCATGACAGTAAGATAATTGTTTGTTAGTACTTGTATTATGTATACAATACTATATAAGTATTGACATTACAGATAGTGTCCGATTCTACCTTTATAGACAAAAAGAGATTCTTTTAATGTAAAAGCAAAATAGTTAACACACTGCATGCATGTGACCTAGCTAAGGATAATATAAAATAATGAATTCGTGTTATTTGGAAATTTAAGAACAAACTATCATAATTAAAGAAATACACAATTATATTTGGGCTCATTGAACCTAAGTAAAACTTGAAAGGCTAAAACCCTATACAAACAATATGTAACAAGGTTACGAAACCTTTTATACAAATATCCTTTCTCCCTTGGAAATTGGAACATGAAAATTTGTTTTCTTCATCAAGTCGCTAGGAAAATAGATAGATATCACAGATACGTAGTCATGTTAATTATAATATACATTATATATATATTGTAGAACTCAAAATAGCAGAAGATTCATCGTATTTCCTTTCAAGACTGGTTAAATTTAAAGGACAGCTATAATTTGGCTGATTTTTCCTTTCAACCTAGAAATGCAATTATTATTAACTTGTAACAGGAACAACAACTACGAACGAATCCGTTATAAAACCCAACCGGATCGTTGTTTGCGCACAGATCGTCACTCACACAAGAACGATCCACCACGTTTGCTCTTACCCTTCTACTCTTTCTCAATCTCCAATGGAATCAGAAACTCTAACCAGCACGATCGTGACCGAGACCCAGACAGAGTTTGAGAAGAATCAGGAACAGTACCAAGCCCTAATCTCCACTCTCCCTCACAAGGAAGGCTGGCAACCTGAAGATCCCCTGATTGAGTTCGGTGGTCACTGGTGGCCACAGTATTTCCTCGAAGGTTGTCTTTACGCGCAAGACTTCTTTCAAGCCCGACCCAACGACTTCCTCGTCTGTAGCTACCCAAAGACCGGCACCACTTGGCTCAAAGCCCTAACTTTCGCCATCGCCAATCGATCACGCTTCGACGATTCCTCCAACCCTCTCCTAAAACGTAACCCTCACGAGTCTGTTCCTTACATCGAGTTGGATTTCCCTTACTTCCCCGAAGCAGACGTTCTCAACGACAAAGGAAACACTCTGTTTTCGACCCATGTCCCACACGGGTCATTACCCGATTCGGTTGTTAAATCGGGTTGTAAGATGGTTTACATCTGAAGAGATCCAAAGGACACTTTCATCTCCTTGTGGACATTCATCCAGAGGGAGAGGTCGGAACTTGGACCAGTTCCTCTCAACAATCTTGACGAGTGTTTTGATATGTTCTGTCGAGGTCTGTCTGCGTATGGTCCTTATCTTGATCATGTCTTGTCGTATTGGAAGGCTTACCAAGAGAATCCAAATCAGATTTTGTTCCTCAAGTACGAGGATATGAGACCTGATCCGTTGCCGTACGTGAAGAGATTGGCCGAGTTCATGGGCCATGGATTCACAGCTGAGGAAGAGGAGAAAGGGGTTGCTGAGAAGGTGGTGAATCTTTGCAGCTTCGAGACGTTGAAGAATCTTGAAGCTAACAAAGGTGATAACATGAGAGAGGATCATGCAGCTTATTATGCGAATAGCGCTTATTTCAGGAAAGGAAAAGTTGGAGATTGGGCCAATTATCTGACTCCGGAGATGGCTGCTCGCATCGATGGGATAACGCAAGATAAATTCAAGGGCACCGGTTTGCTTGAGCTTGGTAAATGATGAAATGGCATCATCAGATGAAACAAAACAAGAAAATAATTTGGTCTAAGCCATCTTTTCTTTTAGTTTCCTTTATTTTTTTTAAGCATAATAATAGGATGGGGCACTTCCCTTGTTCTGAGAGTTTGTGTGTATTTGCTTCCTTGTGTGTAGGAACCGAACGTTCCTTTATGAATGAAAATAAAAAACCAAAAAGAGGTAATCATAATTTTATCCACTAAAAACAAGTACTCAAGGCGCAAAAAAGCAAATTTGTAAAAGTATGAAGAAGATACGCTCTCAAATTTGCATTCGAATACATATTTTGATTCTTATACAAAGCGAAGAACAATCCAGAGAGTGGACAGGTGTCTTTAATGGCTTGCATTGATAGCTAACGGTTCATGATCCAAGAAAGGATTAAATCATTTATCAACGCATATTATTTAAGAAAACACATAATCAAAGACGTGATATATAATCAAACAGTGGGATCCACATAGTAGAGAGATTGATGAAGCCTAGGTGTGATGATGACTTCGAGGGGAGTGGCTTTGAGATTGACCATCCCGTTGCTCTGCGTCATGGCCACTTCTTGGCTCGATGGTCTTTCCACGTCAAAGCTGTGCAAGAACCTTGCCAGGATATAGTGAACCATCCGAAGGCCTAAATGGATTGCAGGACATGTCCGTCGTCCTAGCCCAAACGCAATCAACTTGTAATTCTGTCCACCGAAATCGACGTCTTTGTTAGTTGTCAAAAACCTTTCTGGCTCGAACTTTTCAGGGTCAGACCACAGACTCGGATCTTTCCCAATCTTCGACGCATTTACGAGAAGTTGTGTCCCTGATTAATCGGCATGAAAAGAAGAAGATTATGCATGTCAGAGGATACTGTTAATATAACTAATTATGATTTTATAAACTTTATAGAAGTCATATATCCCTTATATTACGAACTTTCTAATACAGTATATGTACTAATATTACTATATTGCATATCGCTAGTTAGTGTGACTGTGTGAGGGTAATATTATATATATATATATGAGTTTACAACTCGAAATTAATTAACAATCTTTAAAAGACTATAAACATCTTTTATGTACACTGATTAGATCAAAATTAATTGACAATCATTAAAATTAACTAATGATTGTGTACACTGATTATTCAAAATAATCATTAGAATTAATCAATTTTTACTCATTCCAAATCCCGTTTTCTTTTTCGATTGGTTATATATACCTTTTCGTGGCTCTAATAATAAGTGAAAAATTATGATTTTGAACTCCAAACCAATTAGCAGAGTAGAGAAGAGACTCGTATCTTTTATGTACTACTAGTCTTGTATTATCTCTAAATATGTGTATATTCAAACAATTCCAATTCAACATCTAATTACTAGACTCTAATAGATGGGTTACCTGCAGGGATATGATAGTTTCCGTTAACGATATCGAAATCTTCCATCACAGTTCTGTAAGCGACGAGAGGGACTGATGGGTACAAACGGAATGTCTCCTTGACAATGGCTTGGATGTAAACTAAATCTTTGATGTCAGACTCTTCTACAACTCTTTCCTTGCCAATTGTACGGTCCAGCTCCTCGTGAGCTTTCCTCAACACGTCCGGGTTGTTCACGAGCAGCGACACCGCCCAAACCAAAACAACAATTGATGTCTCGCTTCCTGACAAAACCAAGTTCTATAGTTTGCACCCCCACAAAGAAAAAAAAAAGAGTGAGTTGACACATATATATTTTTATTTAACTCATATATATTTTATTAGGCTTTATGAGCTGGTCTTACGAGGCTGAGGGCCTTGATGGTTGCATGAATATCATCAAGACCAAGATTCTTGTCTCGTTTGAAAATCTCCATGAGCAGAAACATGAAGTCCTTATCTCTCCCATTACCAAAATCCTTATTCTTGTGTTCTTCAATCCAACCTTCAATAAGTTTATCTAACCCTTTAGCCGTTCTCTTCATGCCTCTCTTGGTCCCCCAATCCAAAAAGCCTAGAGCTGGTATGACGTCGGTGAACAAGACTAACCCGAAGTAATCAATAAACTCTCGTATCAGCTTTACACTTCTCCTGGCTTCTTCCATTTCACAGTTAGGGCTTTCCCCAAAGTATCTCTTTCCCGCGACCATCATCAGCGAGATGTTGGAGGCTAGATCCCGAAACTCTCGCTTCATGTCCACCAAGACTCCGATTTTAGATCCACCCTTTTGGTCCCACCTCTTGTATAAGTCTCGGAACGCCACATCGGCCTCTCCAGCTCTACAATGCTTGAAGTTTTCCATGACCGAGGCTGATAAGACCTCAGACGTCGTGATCTTCCTCATGTCTCTCCAGTAAGCACCGTAAGGGCTAAACGTCATGAATGAGTCGTTGTAGCCTAGGAGAACCGAAGCGGTGAGGCTAGGGCGCTCCAAGAATTTGTCGTGGACGGTGTAGCATTCTTTGATCACCTCTTGGCTGCTTATGATCAGGACGTCTTGAGAACCAAGCTTCGTCATGAACACGGGTCCATACTTATCGGCCGTTTCACCGAACGTAACGTGGGTCGTCTTGGCGTCGTCATAGTACGCTAAATGGCCGATCAGGGGCCATGCTCCGGGAGCTACAGGCGCAGTATGTTTTTTGTTCTTGGGACTTAGTAATGACTTTATGAGCAGGAAGGGGAAAGAGAGAATAGAGAGAGCAGAGAGAAAAAGAAACTGAATTAGATCCATTGCCTTGACTTAATTAGTACTTATTGCTTGTTGATAACCTGCATGCGTCTTTGTTATATAAGCTGTTCATCGAACTTTTCTGCTTGGGCATGGTTTACACGTGGAAAGTTCAATCTAAACCTACTTTTTTTAACACGTTTGTCCACAATTTCCCAGTTTCGCCATGTTCACCTAACCAAATTAAAGATTTTTTTTTTTCTTAATAGAGTAACATATTTTGTTGATATAATTGTAAGTTTTGTACCTAAGATTAGGTAGTATTACTTTAATTTGATTTACTAATGATTTGGATGGAGTTGGTGCATAAAAAAAAAAATTCAAGCATATACATGACGACACAGACTGACCATATTCGCTTGTTTGGTGACAGAACGATTTTCACCTTTTCTTGTGTATATTTTTGGATATGTGCGCTTTTATAACATTAACAACAACACTCTCTTCTCTTAAGTAAAACAAAAAGGAATATCAAGTGTTGTAATTTGTCAAGTCTATTAGTATTAGTTTGAAAAAAAAAAATTAACTTTGCAAAATATGTGTAAGAAAGAATGTGTATTTGATTTTACATATAAAGTTGAATGTACTTAAGAATAATTATAACTCACCAGAGTTTAACATTCGTAATTGTTTATTTAAATTGCGATATGTTTAAATCTAACAATATAACTCTTACGATGATCCCATAAACCCAACAAACAATCTTTGCATAATGAATAAAATAGTTTTAGAAAACAGATTTCAAATCTTGCCTAACTTAGAACTGAATCAAATTGATATATAAATATTATTATAAAAAGAAAGTTATGTGAAACTGAATTGCTACTACGTGTTGATAGTTCTTTTATTTATAAATATCCTAATGACAAAAATCCAGAAGTTCTCAGATAACGGAAACGGCATGTATTTTGTATTTGCCACACAGAAACTGGCGGAGTGCAAGGCTATTCTCTTTAGCCAAATAAAATTGTCTTAAAAAACGAGGCCGTTTTATAATTACTGGATAGATAGTTGTACAGTTCAAAGTTCTGTTCTTTGGCCATATTCATCCATGGCGCTGTGTCAATTCCCAGTGAATCTCCACACTGTTTCATCTTCAACATCTTCTTCCTTCCAATCTCCTCGTCCTCAGCCTCTCGTTTCCCATGTAAATTCTAATTTCTGGATTCCCAGACCCAGATTTCATAGCTTTAATCACGCCACTCGGTTTATTAACTTGAGTGCCACCGGAGCTGCAATTGATATTGAGACTCACCGGAGGACGAAGAAGAGGAGGAAACCTAAACCGGGTTTCTTCGAAGAGATTAGCGATAAATGGTCTTCCCGAATCAGCCCTAAAAACAACAATTTTCCTTGGCAGAAAAAGCCGGACGAGCAAATTCAACATCACGAAGAAGAAGAAGAAGAAGATAATCCGTCTTCTGGGTATGGTGTATCTGATAAGAAAACCGATTCCAATCGCCGATATTCGGCGACTGAACCTTCGAGTTTCCCAAGGCCAAGTGGAGGATACATGTCTGCTCCATGGGTTAATACTAAAGAAGTGAAATTTCCGTCAAGCTCCGAGCAGGAAATTCGAAATCCAAGCTTCGATAATGTTTTCAGTGTAGATAGATATAGAAGGGATAACGTTTCTGGTGATAGAGCTGTAGATGATATCGGTAGAGAAGCAAGAGATTCAGATTTAGATAGTGATGGTCATAGAGGCCAAAGAGGGATGATAGGTTCTGGGAAAGAGAATGGAGTATGGAGAAGGAGGAAGAGTAATACGGTAGAAGCAGAGAGAGTTGTACCAGAACATGAGCTGAGAAGGCTTAGGAATATAGCTTTGAGAATGGTTGAGAGAATCAAAGTACGTTCTGCAGGAATCACGCAGGCGCTCGTCGAAGCCATTCACGAGAAGTGGGAGGTTGATGAAGTCGTGAAGCTAAAATTTAGTGAGCCCTTTTCTCTTAACATGAAGAGAACTCACGATATCTTAGAGGTCAGACTCGAATCTGTCAGTAAAGGAATGATCTTTATGCAGAGTTTTGAAATAATGTGTTTGCTTGCTTGCTTGTTGTTGTTGTGGTGTAACAGAAGAAAACCGGAGGATTAGTGATATGGAGGTCAGGAAGCTCGGTCGTGCTGTACCGAGGAATAAGCTACAAGCTCAAGTGTGTTCAGTCGTTTATCAAACAGAACAATCTCGATACAAGCCCTGAGATCCGTACGAATGTAGTAGAGGCAAGGGATTACACGCCGGAGGATGCGAATTACCCAAAGAATGTACCTAAAGAACAGTTATCCGAGCTATGCGAATTGAACGATTTGCTGGACGAGCTTGGTCCAAGGTTTCAAGATTGGACGGGGTGTGCTCCGTTGCCTGTTGATGCAGACTTGCTTCCTCCAGTGGTAATGGGGTATAGGTGTCCGTTTAGGATTCTTCCGCAAGGAGTGAAGCCTTGTTTGTCTAACACGGAAATGACAGAAATGCGTCGGCTCGCTAGGACAAGCCCACCACATTTTGCTCTTGGTATGGATAAACTCATCGAATCTCGCACTCTTTTGGCAGTTGTATATGTTTCTCCCAAGTGACTGTTGTTTCTTTATTTATCCGGTTTAGGGAGGAGCAGAGAGTTACAAGGTCTGGCTGAGGCAATGGTTAAGCTATGGGCTAAAAGCGCGATTGCAAAAATAGCAATCAAACGCGGTGTGGAAAACACGCGGAATGAGAGAATGGCGGAAGAACTTAAGGTTTGATAATCTCTCGTAGATATATGCATACGTACCACCAAATATTTTCTGCGTGCTCACTTGTTATTTTCTTGTTCATTCTTGAAGAGACTTACTCGCGGTGTACTTGTTTCAAGAAACAAAGAGTACATTGTCTTCTACAGAGGCAATGACTTCATGCCTCCTGCGGTTGCAGAGGCATTGACCGAGAGGCAAAAAGAGATAACTGAAGTTCTTCAAACCAAAGAGGACCAAGCCCGGGAAACGGCTTCAACAAGAGCCACATTCACATCTCTGGCCAAATCACCTAAAACCCAGTTGCTCGCTGGAACGCTGGCTGAGACTATAGCTGCAAGTTCTCGGTGGGCACCAGAGGCAAGCAGTGTGGATATCGAAGAGTTAAAGAGAGAATCAGCTGCCATCAAAAGAGATGCGTTGATTAGAGATCTCAACCTGAGACTTCTTTATGTGAGTACTATTTTTTACTTTCTCCTCATTGAGTAATCCGTTTTCTCCTATTTCGGTATCTGATGATCTGATGATCTGATGATCTTTCTTTTGTTACAGGCAAAGCAAAAGTTGAGAAAAGCTGAGAGGGCTTTAGCTAAAGTGCAGAAGGATCTTGACCCATCGGATCTCCCAACTGATTCCGAAATAATCACAGAAGAAGAGAGACTTCTTTTCCGGAGAATTGGTTTGAGTATGGATCCTTTTCTTCTCGTAGGTAAGCACAAAGACTCTCATGTCACATTTAAAGCCAAAAAAAATGGGATTCTCATGTTCTTTAAAAAAATTTACAGGAAGGCGAGAAGTGTATGATGGTACCATAGAGAATATGCATTTACACTGGAAACATCGGGAGCTCGTAAAAATAATCGTTAGAGGGAAATCTCTTCCGCAAGTGAAGCACATCGCTATCTCTTTGGAGGCTGAGAGTGGAGGAATATTGGTATCTGTTGATAAAACCTTGAAAGGATACGCGATTATACTCTATCGCGGGAAGAACTATCAGATGCCATTTCGGCTTAGGCCTTCTAACTTATTGACAAGAAGAAAGGCTTTTGCTCGATCCATCGAGCTTCAAAGAAGAGAAGTAATGATGATGATAGTTTACATGTAAATACACTTATATTGTAAGATTCAAAGAGGAGAAGTAATGGTCTTTTTTTTGTTTCGACAGGCACTGAAGCATCATGTTGCAGACCTAGAGGAACGGATTGAGCTATTGAAGACCGGACAGGTTTGATGAAATTGATGATTGCCTGTGTAATTGATCATAAATCTACTTCAGTCCCTTCTGTGTAAACAAAACTATCATGAAAATTGATCCAGGTCGAGGATAGAGAAACATGCAAGAAAAGTGATGGAGAGGAAGAGAACTTGTATCTGAGAGTCGATGAATCTGATTTTTCTTCTGACGAGGTAAAAATGAAATCCTTATTAAGGTTCTTGAGTGAAGAACTATGGCATCTCTGATATGGCATTTTTGTGAATCAGGATGATGCTTCGGAATGGGAATCAGAAAACAATGAAACTTTCTTATCATCGTCGGAAGAAGCCGGCGAAGAAACTTGAACCGGTAATACAAATATAATCTTTCATTTAGTGTAAATCATCAGAACCTGTAGCAAATAGTAACCCTAAACTGTGTATTCTTTATTCTGAAGTTTGTACGGTAACAAGATCAAACAAAGAGACAAACAGTGCAGAAAAGATCAATTAGCATATTGAAGCATTCATCTATTAATGTTCCATCACATTTGCTTGAAAGCATTTACTCACCAACTAAATTAATTAGAATTAAGTCAATGGTGGAGTAGTTGAATATACTGCTGATTACAGAGGACAGCTTTCTTTGCAATTATTAAGTTGGTACAACGACTACAATCACATATTAAACCCACGCACGATCGTTGTTTGCACGCAGATCATAACTAAGAACGATATACTACGCTTGTTCTCTTACCCCCATACTCTTTCTCTATCTCTAATGGAATCAGAAATTCTGACCGACGAGACCAAGACCGAGATCCAGACAGAGTCAAGAGAGTTTGAGAAGAATCAGGAACGGTACCAAGCCCTAATCTCCACTCTTCCTCAGGAGGAAGGCTGGGGGCCTGAAGATCCCCTGATTCAATACGGTGGTCACTGGTGGCTACAGTATTTCCTTGAAGGTTGCCTTCACGCGCAAGACTTCTTTCAAGCGAGACCCAACGACTTCCTCGTCTGTAGCCACCCAAAGACCGGCACCACTTGGCTCAAAGCCCTGACTTTCGCCATCGCCAATCGAGCACGCTTCGACGATTCCTCCAACCCTCTCCTAAAACGTAACCCTCACGAGTTTGTTCCTTTCATCGAGTTGGATTTCCCTTTCTTCCCTGAAGCAGACGTTGTCAACGACAAAGGAAACACTCTGTTTTCGACCCATGTCCCACACGGGTCACTACCCGACTCGGTTGTGAAATCGGGTTGTAAGATGGTTTACATCTGGAGAGATCCGAAAGACACTTTCATCTCCTTGTGGACATTCATCCAGAGGGAGAGGTCGGAACTTGGACCAGTTCCTCTCAACAATCTTGACGAGTGTTTTGATATGTTCTGTCGAGGTCTGTCTGCGTATGGTCCTTATCTTGATCATGTCTTGTCGTATTGGAAGGCTTACCAAGAGAATCCAAATCAGATTTTGTTCCTCAAGTACGAGGATATGAGACCTGATCCGTTGCCGTACGTGAAGAGATTGGCCGAGTTCATGGGCCATGGATTCACAGCTGAGGAAGAGGAGAAAGGGGTTGCTGAGAAGGTGGTGAATCTTTGCAGCTTCGAGACGTTGAAGAATCTTGAAGCTAACAAAGGTGATAACATGAGAGAGGATCATGCAGCTTATTATGCGAATAGCACTTATTTCAGGAAAGGAAAAGTTGGAGATTGGGCCAATTATCTGACTCCGGAGATGGCTGCTCGTATCGATGGGATAACGCAAGATAAATTCAAGGGCACCGGTTTGCTTGAGCTTGGTAAATGATGAGGTGATATTGGAAGAAAACAAACTTGAAAGTAAATTATAAGCATACATAAGCTTTAGCAAATGTAACCCGAAACTGAATTATCTTCATTATAGCTTGTACGGTTACAAGATCAAACAAAGAGACGAAAAAACGGAGCAGAAAAGGCAGACAACATGAGCATATTTTAAGCATTCATTTATTCACGTTTCATCTCATTTGCTTAAAAGCATGCACTCACATAAAAAGTTTATTATCCATACCAACTAAATTAACACGTATCACCAAAATAAAGTTTGTTCATACCATCCATTTCTTGCTTGAATTCAACCATTGCATCTCTTGGCAACGTCATCATCACTTTAACTCCACCTTTCATTGATGGATCCAACTCAGAAGGTTTCAAGATCATCCCTACATGCAATGCACTCCCACGTTCGGTCAACGGCCGCAGATTCACAGGCTCATTCCAACCAAAATCCATCGATCCGAACCAACCAATATTCCTCCAGTCCGTCAAGAACAATAGTCCGTCGCTTACCCCTTCGAATCTCACATCCTCCCTTATCAATCTCTCAGTGTTTTTCAGCTCTTCCTCGAGATACAACTTGTCATAGGCTGTTTTCTTGGCTTTCTTCACACGCTTCGCGATGTCAGAGATTGATGCTTCTTCGAGTTCTCTCACGGTCAACTCCACATAGACATCTATGTATGCGTTACCATAGAACCCTTGAGGAAGTGGCGGGTCTAGAACATGTCGGATTCCAACAGCTACGCCAAGGACAGTGATCCCCTCAGGCTTTAGTTTTAGGGCTCGAGATCTTGCTTTCCATATGCAAGAACTAAGTACTTCGTAAGTAGTGAAACTCTCTTTATTGAACTCGCACTCTCTCATCAAAGAGTCTTTAAGCCTCTTTATGTTCGCAGCCCGAATGTTGATGATCTCCGTCACCTGTTGGGTAAATAGACAAAATGACATCAGTTTTGCTAAATATATATTACAAACCTTAAGAAAAAAATATTAAAATACTAAAATTTTGAATCACAAAATTATCGGAGTTAATGGGAGAACAACATACCATATCTTTAGTTGGAATATATGGTGAGGTGGCCAAGAGACTAGCAATGTCGCCGCCAGGCACTTTGGCCGGTTCATTATCATATTTTCCGACCAACCGCTCTCTCTGCCACACCGGCATCACCGATGGCTCGCTCTTTCCTGCAGCCAACTCGGTTAAAGCATGGATGATCTGAGCCACACCGAATCCATCACACACGGCGTGCGTCAATGCGGTGCCAATGGTGAACCCTCCGCACGCAAACTTGGTCACCTAACAAAAATAGGTTTATATTAATTATGTGTGATCCACATTACGATGAATAGAAAATTATGTGTGATCCACAGTACGATGAATGGAAAATGAAAAGCTACCTGCAGAGCTAGTGGATGATAACCAACGTTGCTATCATAGTCTATTTCAATATCAGGCACAAGGCGCAAAGCAACTTGGTCATCGAGGTCTTCTATATAGTTTAGAGAGGAGATGTCGATAGATGTGGTAGCGACCTCAAATGGAACTCCCTCGCCCCCCAAAACAAGCTGAAGTTTTCGATCACTCTCTAGTCTCATTAGCTTGCCTGAAAGGGGATAGTAGTACACAAGAAGTTCGGACAGAGCCTTCCTAAGCAAAGAGACAGGATCGTTTTGGTTCTTTTCATTGGCTTTGAAAACGTAAATCGTTGCGTACATAACTTCATTGAACAGATCGTTGTCTAAAGTAGAAAGGGAGAGAATTTCAGAAGGAGTGTGTTTTGAGGGTTTAACAAGCTCAACTGGTTTCTTTTCGAGTAATAGAGGAAGGTTCGGTCTTGTTTTGTTTGCCATCGCTAACCAAGTTTAATATGTATCATATAATGTCTCCATATGATGTTTATATAGCCAAGTTTAGAACGTATGATATAAATTAATTGCGTGCCTGATTTCGTTGAGAGGGTTGTTGTCAAAACAAGAAAAATGGGAGAGGTTTGTTTTAAAGGTATAACAAGTTCAACTGATTTTTTTCTCGAGTGATAGAGGAAGGCTCGAGTTGGTTTGGTTTATCATCTTTACCAACTTTATGAACGTAGAATATAAGATTATTCTTCTCCTTTTGTTGATGATGTTTATATAGTCATGTATATTTATATGTTTTGTGCCAGTTAATGCGTGTTTGCATAGACAGAGACATCAGCTTCATGTTAACTTCGTTAAGCACACAACAACATAATGACAGATTAAAGAGAGAAAAACTGATTGTAATCTAATAGTTAATTTGAAACTACATCTGATAAAATTCTTAAACACATGTCATAAGCGTTTGGTTTTTCGAAAATCAAACGGAAAAGAATTATTAACGACGGAATACTACCAATTTTTATTTTGGGGTCGTCTCGGAAAAACCATCAGAACAAACAGTAACATGCATGCAAGAGCTGACACATCATTCATATGATAATAAGAATCGTGTACTTTAATTACGGACAACTTACACATTCAATTTGCATGGCTTATAAACGTATATTGTATCCAACACACGATCTAGTACTCCAGACAGCCTAACGAACAAAAAAGACAACGATCCCTTTTTTTCGTCATTCAAAATTTTTTTTTAAAACTTCCAAATGGTTGTCAGGGGAGAAATGAAAATATCTATAATTAATGAGTAGAGAAGAATATGTTCTTTGTAAGTTTGTCCTATCTTTTTTTTTTCTTTAGCAAAATTAATAGAATTCTCTTTCTTATTTTTATTATAAATATTTGGAAAGAATATAAGAAGATATACAATTTCTTGTGGTCTTTTTTGTTTTTGGTAGACATTCTGCTAAGTAAATGAAGATTAAAGTTCGGAATATTAAATTTAATTTCAGAATAACATATGATAAATTAAATATCAACATAAACAAATAACATATTACAAAGAAAATTCATGCTTAATGCAACAATTAAATTAAAAGTAAAACTAAAAAATATATATTATTTGACAAACATATCCCATCATCATTGGCCTAATTTTTCTTATAGTTCTTATCATTTGAAAAATTATCTCTTCATTTTATTAGGTTAATACTTTTAAAACTGAATCAAGTTTTAATATAAATTATTTTACATGCCGTATGATTGTTTTAAAATAAATAAAAAGAAGTTAGAACATTTTAATCGTAGATATATTTATGAGAGTTTTATATTGAAAAAAATGAAATTCAATTTTAATTTGACAAATTTAATTTTTTTTTTGTCATCGGAAGAAGAAGAAGACACTTGAACCGGTAAACAAATAGAATAATTTAGTTTTTGTGATAAAATATCAGAACCTTTAGCAAAATGTAACCCGAAACTGTACATTCCTTATTAATTATAAAGTTTGTGCGGTTACAAGATCAAACATAAAGAAAAACAGAGCAGAAAAGACATACAACATATATAAGCATTTTTTTTTGGCGGCTACAACATAAGCATATTTAAGCATTCATTTATTCAGCCATTATTCATTTTTCATAACATTTGCTTAAAAGCATTCACACAAAAGTTTATTCATACCATCCATATTTCATCCATATCGTGCTTGAATTCAACCATTGCATCTCTTGGCAACGTCATGACCACTTTAACTCCACCTTCCATTGATGGATCAAGTTCAGAAGGTTTCAAGATCATCCCTACATGCAATGCACTCCCACGTTCGGTCAACGGCCGCAGATTCACAGGCTCATTCCAACCAAAATCCATTGATCCGAACCAACCAATATTCCTCCAATCCGTCAAGAACAATAGTCCGTCGCTTACACCTTCGAATGTCGCATTCTCCTTCATCAACCTCTCTGTGTTCTTTAGCTCTTCCTCGAGATACATCTTGTCATAGGCTGTTTTCTTGGCTTTCTTCACACGCTTCGCGATGTCAGAGATTGATGCTTCTTCGAGTTCTCTCACAGTTAACTCCACATAGACGTCTATGTATGCGTTACCGTAGAACCCTTGAGGAAGTGGTGGGTCTAGAACATGTCGGATTCCAACAGCTACGCCAAGGACAGTGATCCCCTCAGGGTTTAGTTTTAGGGCTCGAGATCTTGCTTTCCATATGCAAGAACTAAGTACTTCATAAGTAGTGAAACTCTCTTTAGTGAACTCGCACTCTTTCATCAAAGAATCTTTAAGCCTTTTTATGTTCGCAGCACGAATATTAATTATCTCCGTTACCTGTTGGGTAATAAATAAAGTGAGATCATTTTGCCAGCACTATATTGAAATATTGAAATTGATTGTATTTCACATATTTGCAAGAACTTCGTACGTGTAAATCTTTAAAGCATCAATTATATTTCTTTTTGCCGTTTTTACTCTATAATTACAACAACAAAAATACAGGATTACAAACCCTAAGAAAAAAAATACTAAAAATATAAATCACAAAATTATTGGAGTTAATGAGAGAACAAAATACCATATCAGTAGTTGGAATATATGGTGAGGTGGCCAAAAGACTAGCAATGTGACCGCCAGGCACTTTGGCCGGTTCATTATCAAATTTTCCGACCAACCGCTCTCTCTGCCACACCGGCATCACCGATGGCTCACTCTTTCCTGCAGCCAACTCGGTTAAAGCATGAATGACTTGAGCCACACCGAATCCATCACATACGGCGTGCGTCAGTGCGGTGCCAATGGTGAATCCTCCGCATGCAAACTTGGTCACCTTTAAAAAAAAAAAAACAAAGGGAACAATAAGTTTATATTAATTATGTGGGATCCACATTACGATGTATACAAAATTAATTGAAAAATACTGAGAGTTTATTGAGATGATCCATATAAAATATTTTTTGGTAGAAAAAAAATGATATCTTGCAAAATATGAAGAAAATGAAAAGCTACCTGCAAAGCTAGAGGATGATAACCAACGTTGCTGTCGTAGTCTATTTCGATTTCAGGCACAAGGCGCAAAGCAACTTGGTCATCAAGGTTCTCTATATAGTTTAGAGAGGAGAGGTCGAGAGATGCGGTAGCGACCTCAAATGGAACTCCCTCACCCCCAAAAATAAGCTGAAGTTTTCGATCACTCTCTCGTCTCATTAGCTTGCCTGAAAGGGGATAGTAGTACACAAGAAGTTCGGACAAAGCCTTCCTAAGCAAAGGGACAGGGTCATTTTGGTTCTTTTCATTGGCTTTGAAAACGTAAATCGTTGCGTACATAACTTCATTGAAAAGATCGTTGTCTAAAGTAGAAAGGGAGAGAATTTCGGAAGGAGTGTGTTTCGAGGGTTTAACAAGCTCGACCGGTTTCTTTTCGAGTAATAGAGGAAGGTTCGGTCTTGTTTGGTTTGCCATCGCGCTTACCAAGTTTAACAATGCATTCTATAATGTCTCCATATGATGTTTATATAGCCAAGTTTAGAACGTATAATATTAAATCAATGTTTTCGCAGTAGTGGAGTTAGGAATAATTTTTATACGAGTCATAATAAACAAATCTGATATATATAGTGTATGATGGATGATACTATTACTATAGACGAAAAACAAATAGTGAATGCATTTGGAAAATTGAAAACGTCTTCGGTCCTCTTCGTTTTCGAGACTAACTAACCGCAATATTTATTTGTTAGTTTGTATTTGATTTTGCATGGGGTTGCAATCAAATTTATGTGAACTAATAGTGTGTTGTATGTGTAAACAAAGATTCCTCTCATTCTCCCTTAATGGAAGTATTCTAAGAAACCGTTGAACGGACATATATCTGAGATCTAGGATATGCTTCTTTGGTAGTACCATGATGGATGAAGGCTAATTATATGAAAAGTAAACGTTCGAAGCAAAGGGTTGGAAAAGAAGTGACGCATGCTCTTAAAAAAAGTGATGCATGCTCTGATTTTAGGTTTTTTTTTATTAATAAATATGTTCTTTTAACTAATTATAAATATGTTATTTAGGTCTGAAGTTGTAACTATTTAATAATGTTGAGATTCTCTTGTAATAAGTTGTATCGGTTATTAGTTTTGACGATTTTTTAAATATTATTTTTCTAGTTATTTGGAGAATCAACCGTGAATAGGTTTATATAATCAACGTTTCCTCTCTATCAAAAATATAATACATTATTACGTACCTTTCACTAAAATAAACATGGGGGGAAAATAGAAGAAAAGACTCAAACTTAAGACTTGTATACTACGTTAGAACAAAAAGAATCTTGTTACCGTATTCTATCGAGGCTTAAGTGGTTTGTATTATTTTTAGTGCCGTGTCACAATCTAGCTAGATACAAATAGTAATGCTCATGCTAGTTTTTTTAATATAAAAACTAATAAAAATATATTTATAACGGTGAAAAATCAATAAAGATCGTCGCCTAAAAATCTTGTTTAAACGCTGTATTAAATAATTCTAAAAGGGGCAAATCTCTTGTCCTTATATCCCGTATTTCCGTGTTGTTTAAAGACAAGCACGTGATGCATAGGAACCATGCACTTTGATAAGCCATGCAAACTGAAATGTGTCCACTCCCTCATTAAATTTATACATAAGACATTTGACCAGAAGTTCTACGATCATAGTTCGAGGAACCATATAATAGAATATATCTTAATTCCAGTATTAACAAACAAAGATGCGGAATTGATGGACGTTGAACATCATGCAGCCGGGACACTCGTCATGTTTGCCTTCTCATCTCTCACTCTCATGCGTTTGTAATAGCCATTCTTGTCGTCTTTTCTTCTGTTAATGGTCGATTCTCATTAAGCTGATGGGGACTAACTCTAACATGCAAATTAAAATGTGTCCCCGCTCCTTTATGATACTGCCCACATCTGGTGACCCAGGCCATATAGAAAGAAAGAAAAAAAAAAAGATTTGTTTATCTGTTTCACACTCTTAATCCATTGTAAGTAGTTTTGTCAGACAACAAGGAAATATAGAAACTCCGAAGATTAGTCTGACTATTGGTCGGAGGTACATTGTTGATCAAAAGCCTAATATATTGTCCCCAGATCAATATAGTCCCGCTCATACCTGTATTTTCGATCAATTTTCACAAATGAACACAAAAAAAAAACACCAATCATCATGCCAAAAATAAGTATACAGCCCATTTCGAACCTCGACCTTATGGAAAGTGGATTCTTTTCCACATCCATGATGCGCAAAGTAACATTGGTTTTCACCGTACGTCCGAAAGGGTCCGTTTTGAATTACTAATATCAACATCACTCTAAAATGCAGTTATTTAAACGAAAATAAAATTACGAATATAACAATACACTGTAGCTCAGTAGTCTTTAAAAAAAAATACACTTCTATTAACGTCCTTGCCTAAACGCTGCATTAAAAATAATTTCAAAGTGAGAAATTAATATTTTGTCCTTGTATTCCGTATTTACATGTTGTCTAAAGACTATAGTTTGAGGCTTAAAGCACGTGATGCATAAGAAAAAACCCAGTATTAACAAAAAAAAAAGAAAAAAGATTCAGGAATTGATGGAGGTTTAATATCATGCTGCTGGGGCAGTCATGTTTGTAGTTGTAATACCGGTACCCTATATACACATACTATCAATTATCAGCCCCGTCTTAGTAATTTCAAGAATCTTAAGCGAAATATTTTATATTTTATATTATATTAATAAAAAATAATTGTATTAATCAAAATAAATCTAACTATAATTTTTTAATTTTTAAAATATAAAATAAGTTGCTAGTTTGTGTGTATAATGGACCTTTAAATTTTTGGATCCATGGCTATTGCCCCTCCCACAATGCCTCAGAGCCGGGGCTGTCAATTATGTGTGTATAATGAAAACACATGTAAAAGAGAAGAATGAAGAAAAAAAAAAATTATGTGTATATTACAGTGTTCATGGACTTTAGGATATTCACCAACAGCCATTCGTGGGGTTTTGCACATGCTCTATGAACAAACAAAAACAATATGTAGCAGAGCACAATCTGATCCGAGAAACGTAGCAAGTTCTCAAACGGCAGTAAATTTTATCGAGCCAAAAGTAGACAGATTTGTTGACCTTTTAATCTAAGCATTTTTCTGGAAGAAATTTAATCCATACGATTAATTCTTTATTTGTAATATATCGAACAAGGCTGGAAGAAAAATCGTCATTTGTGTATACGATCCACAGGTTACAGAGATATTAAGCATTAAGGCTGGGAATTTAAAAATGCTTAAAGATACTTTGGTTAAGGAATGTGAATTCCCGAAGGAGAGTTACACTACTTATGAAATTCTTAGTGCATGCATATGAAAAGCAAGATCTCGAGCCCTAAACCTAGACCTTGACAAGATCACTGCCCTTAGCATAGTTGTCGGAATACGACATGTTCTTGATCCGCCACTGTCCGAGGGTTACTACGGAAACGCAGTCATAGACGTGTATATCGAGTTGACCGCAAGAGAGTATTGAAGTTAAACTTGATTTTGGGTTAAGCTTAATTTTGGGTTTATAAAATAATTATTAGTTATTAGATTAGGCCCAAAATTAAGCTCAAGTTCTAGAATCTCTAGAAACATCACTAAAAATCATCATCTTTCTTAAATGTTCTAGAGAATTCTATTAGTTAAATATCTAGATAATTCTATAGATAATTCTAGATGTTGTAGTTAAAATTCTAGATATTATTGTAGAAAATTTTAGAGATTAGGAGAATGTTTGTAAGATATTTTGTAATAAGTGGAGCCTATAAATAGCCCACTACTCCATCATTTGTAAACAAGAGAAGTTGAACAAATAAAGAAAGAGTGTTCTTCATAAGTTCTCTTATTCTCTCTAAAGTTCCTTCAAGTTTTCTCTAAGTATTCTTTCATCTTATTATTCATACTTAGAGGGTCTTTGTTTCTTTCGGATCTCTCGGGTATTACGGTCTTGGGCTAGTGCTTGGCACTATCGGTGTTTTCTTTACATGGTATCAGAGCCATTCTGATCTGGTTCTTTTTCAAGATCGGATTAATTGAGATCTCAGATTTACTCTAAGTATGGAGTCAATGGGTCGCGTTGTTGGGTTGGGAATGGAGATTCTAAACCAATCCAATTACCGGTTATGGAAGTCATGCATGGAGTCATACTTGGTGAGTGAGGACTTATGGGATGTCGTCGGCGGCAGTAGCACAACACCACCAAGGGGAGCTGCTGCGACAGCGGAAGCGACAAAGGAGTGGACACGGAAGAATGCCAAGGCGGAGTTTGCATTGAAGAGGTCAATATCCTCGGGAGTCTTTGAGCATGTCTCAAGTTGCACATCCGCTAGTTCCATTTGGCAGGCGTTAGATCAGTTGTTCAACAAGAAGAATGAAGCTCGGCTACAACTGTTAGAGAACGAGTTGGCGAATGCAAAGCAGGGGGAGTCTTCAATCTCAGAGTTTTTCATCAAGGTAAAGAATCTTCGCTCAGAGATTAATACTCTAAATCCGGAGGAGTCAATTTCCGAAGCACGTTTAAAACGGTATATTATTCGAGGTCTACGACCTGAGTATACACCGTTTGTGACTTCGGTTCAAGGATGGGCTACACAACCTTCCTTGGAGGAGTTCGAGAACCTGCTAGCTTCGCAAGAGTCATTAGCTACGCAAATGGCAGGAGTCAAAATCCATGATGACTCGGGGAGCGCCTTTGTAGCTCGGAAGCAACACAACTTCAAAGCCAAATCCAAATACGATGGTGCAAAGAACATCGATGGACCGGAAGGATCTTCTACTGGAGATAAGAAGCGATTCAAGTGCTACCGGTGTGGAAAGCTTGGGCACTTCAAAAAGGATTGTCGAGTCAAGCTGAAGGAGACAAATATAGCAGAATCAAAAGGTCATATTGAAGACGAAGAATGGGGGAAATGCTTCACGGTGGAGGCTGCATCTTCAGGTATATCCACAACTAAAAATCTTGAAAATGATTGGATTGTGGATTCGGGTTGTAGCCACCATATTACCGGAGACGAGAAGCTATTTTCTAGTCTTCAGCGCCATGATGGAAAAGAAGCCATAATTACCGCGGATAATTCAGTTCACCGGGTCGAGAAGGAAGGGACTGTTGTCATTGAAGGAGAAGATGGAAGCCCTATCACCCTCAAGAATGTATACCATGTCCCTGGAGTAAGGAAGAATCTTCTCTCTGTGGTGAATGCAGTAGACTCAGGTAACTACGTTTTATTTGGCCCAAGAGACGTCAAATTCTTGAAGAATATTAAAGAGTTAAAGGCGGATGTGGTTCACACTGGATCGCGGGTTAAGGATCTATATGTCTTATCTGCGTCCAACTCATACGTGGAGAAGATGAGTACAAACGACAATGCCTCTATATGGCATGCTCGGCTTGGTCATATAAACATGACTAAGCTAAAGGTTATGGTGAATAAGGAGTTGGTAAATGGGCTTCCGAAGCTGAAGATCCAAGATGAAGGAAAGCTTTGTGAAGGTTGTCAATATGGAAAATCACATAGACTTCCATTTGACAATTCTACTTCACGGTGCAGTGCTCTGTTGGAGAGGATCCATAGTGATTTGATGGGTCCTACAAGAACACCCTCATATTCCGGGTTTCGGTACATGTTGCTGTTCATTGATGACTTCTCACGGCACACTTGGGTATACTTTGTGAAGGAAAAATCAGAAGTATTCTCCAAATTTCAAGAATTCAAGGTTACCGTGGAAGGGGAGTTGGGTCGGAGAATCAAGACCTTAAGGACAGATAATGGAGGGGAGTTCATGTCCAAGGAGTTTCTCTCTTTTTTTGTCAAAAGCATGGAATAAAGAGAGAGTTTACTTGTCCGTATACACCTCAACAAAATGGAGTAGCGGAAAGGAAGATTCGACATCTAACTGAGACGTGCAGAAGCTGGCTATATGGGAAGGATCTGCCTAAAGCCTTGTGGGCGGAAGGCATGAGATGCGCAGTGTACGTCATAAATCGGATGCCACTCAGCCCAAATAACATGAAGTCTCCGTATGAGATGATTCATGGGAAGAAGCCGTCAGTGAAACATCTCAGGATATTTGGATCAGTCTGCTACGTCCATGTGTTTGATTCTCAAAGAACCAAGTTGGAGGCAAAGGCGAAGAAGTGCATCTTCGTTGGCTATGACGAACAAAAGAAAAGGGTGGAGGTGTATGGATCCAGAGACACACAGGTACGTAGTGTCTCGAGATGTTGTTTTTGATGAAGTTTCCTCATTCTATAGGCCACCTCAAGTTTTAGTTGAGCAAGAAGGTGGGAGTTCCTCCAAGAGTGATAAACCAGCTCTGAGTAAGGAAAAAGGTCCTGAAGAAGAGATGCAAGGTGAAAGGGGGAGCACTGATCAAGAGGAGGATGAGGAGGAACATCATGGTTCCACGGCTAGTCAAAGGCCTAAAAGGGACATCATTAAACCTGCTCGGTTCAGAGATCCAAAGTTTGTTACTACCTTCTCGTGCTACTTTGCAGCTCCATTAGATGAAGATGAGCCAACATCTTATGATGAAGCAAAAGGTGTTGACGAGTGGGAAAACGCAATGAAGGAGGAGATGAATGCTCTCATGAAGAACGAAACTTGGGATTTGGTTCCAAAACCCAAGAATGCCCAACCTGTTTCTTGTAAATGGGTGTACCGGATCAAGCGCAAAACAGATGGAAGCGTTGATAGATTCAAAGCAAGGTTGGTTGCTCGGGGATTCTCTCAAAAGTATGGAGAAGACTATGATGAGACCTTCAGCCCTGTAGCCAAGATGACTACGGTACGTTCTCTCTTATCTTTGGCTGCAAGTTTTGGTTGGAAGTTATGGCAATTAGACGTGAAGAATGCTTTTCTGTATGGAGAGCTTGACAAGGAAATCCTGATGGAGCAGCCACTTGGTTTTATATCACGAGAGCATCCTGATTATGTGTGTAAGCTGAAGAAGGCCTTGTATGGGTTAAAACAAGCTCCACGAGCCTGGTATGGAAAGCTTGCTCAGTTTCTTCAGTTCTGCGGTTATGTGGCATCAAACTCTGATCCGAGTCTATTCTTCAAGAAGAATGGAGGAGTCCACGTGGTAGTTCTCCTTTACGTAGATGATATGATAATTACCGGGAATGATGATGCAGAAATTACTCGTTTACAAGAGGATATGTCGATAAGGTTTGAGATGAAGAAGTTGGGAGAGCTCAACAACTTTCTCGGTTTGGAGGTGGAAAGGGTAAAGGGTGGAATATTCATCGGCCAACAAAGCTATGCAAGAAGAATCGTTGAGAAGTTTGGAGTACACGAAGGAAAGACACGCTCTACTCCAATGGATGTCAACATAAAGCTTAAACGCGATGAAGGGTCCTTACTACCTGATCCTCGGCCTTATCGCTCTCTTGTAGGAAGTCTTTTATACTTAACCATTACAAGACCTGACATTGCCTTCGCGGTAGGTCTTGTAAGTCGGTTTATGCAGGCACCAAGGAAGCCACATCTAGAAGCGGAAAGAAGATATTGAAGTATGTGAAGACAACTCTTGGCATGGGTCTGGTGTACAAGTATAATGCCAAGGTCTCTCTTTATGGCTTCACGGATGCTGACTTTGGTGGATATCTTGATGATCGGAAATCAACTTCAGGCTATGTTTTCCTATGTGGGAACACAAGTGTCTCATGGTGCAGTAAGAAGCAAGCAACGGTGTCGTTATCTACAACTGAAGCAGAGTATAAAGCGTCAACTCTAGCAGCTCAAGAGTGTATTTGGCTTCAGAGACTCCTTGAAGATCTGTTCGAGCCAATCAATAAGCCAATTGCAATTTATGGAGATAATCAAAGTGCGATCAAGCTGGCCAATAATCCGGTGTTCCATGGGAGGACTAAACACATTGAGTTAGAGCATCACTTCATAAAAGAGAAGGTGCTTGATGGGACAATTGAAGCTTTGGAAGTTCGAAGCGAGGACAACGTTGCGGATATCTTCACCAAGTCATTACCAAAAGGTCAGTTCGAGTTACTTCGCTCGAAGCTCGGGATGACTGACAAAATCAAGTTTAAAGGGGAGTATTGAAGTTAAACTTGATTTTGGGTTAAGCTTAATTTTGGGTTTATAAAATAATTATTAGTTATTAGATTAGGCCCAAAATTAAGCTCAAGTTCTAGAATCTCTAGAAACATCACTAAAAATCATCATCTTTCTTAAATGTTCTAGAGAATTCTATTAGTTAAATATCTAGATAATTCTATAGATAATTCTAGATGTTGTAGTTAAAATTCTAGATATTATTGTAGAAAATTTTAGAGATTAGAAGAATGTTTGTAAGATATTTTGTAATAAGTGGAGCCTATAAATAGCCCACTACTCCATCATTTGTAAACAAGAGAAGTTGAACAAATAAAGAAAGAGTGTTCTTCATAAGTTCTCTTATTCTCTCTAAAGTTCCTTCAAGTTTTCTCTAAGTATTCTTTCATCTTATTATTCATACTTAGAGGGTCTTTGTTTCTTTCGGATCTCTCGGGTATTACGGTCTTGGGCTAGTGCTTGGCACTATCGGTGTTTTCTTTACAGAGAGCTCCATGAATCATCAATCTCTGACATTGTAAAACTCGTGAAGAGAGCCAAGAAGAAAGCTTATGACAAGAGTTTTATCGAGGATGAGCTAAAAAACATGGAGAGAATGATTAAGGAGGATGTGAAATTTGAGGTAATCGATGGTTCATTGTGCATGACCGATATGAGAAATATCGGGTTTTTTGGATCGATGGATTTTGGTTGGAACGAGCCTGTGAATATGAGGGTCTAATGTTTGAAGAAAGCGCCAAGAACATGGGGATGATCTTAGGACCATCCAAGCTGGATCCAGCAATGAAAGGTGGGGTTAGAGTGGTAATGACATTACCGAGGGATGCAATGGCTAAGTTCAAGCAAGAACTAGATGCAATGATGCATTTTCGTCCTCGCTTTTAATCTTGTCGTTGTGGACTAACCTTCTCTTTTGTCATCTTCCTCTACTTTGATTGAGTTCTTTCGCATATATGTAGCTACTTCGAAGCTCGAACTAAATATATAAGACAATTACACTTTAAACATATCACGTATAAACAAGAAAAAAAGTAAGTAATTTTCTTAGTAAACCTCGTTTTTTGTCTGAACCATATCTTGTGTTCTAGATATTAATTTAGGGTCCCGACTTAATTAGTTTCTACTTTCTATTATATTGTGTTACGTGCAAGCAAAAGATTCTTGCTCATAAGCAAATAACAACAAAGGAATAGATCCTAAACTCATGAATAATTTTTTTCCTCGAGAAAGGGATAAATAAGTGGTGAAAATATAATAAATTCTTAATTTGATATCTGAAAGTATTATAGAAAAGTCTTCCTACGTAAGTAGAGTTTTTATTTATTTCCCATGCATGCTGAAGAAAATATTTGTCAATAGATCATACGAGCTTGATTGATCCATGTCTTAAGTTCTGTTGAGAAAAAAAAAATCCAGATAAAAGTAAGTAAATGTTGTTTTTTTTACTTTGGTATTTTAATACAGGTCTTTACAGAAATGTCCGGTGCAAAATAAACACCATGAAGAACAAATGAATATATATTTTTTGGGATAAAAAACTTTTAGAACAAAGGGAACTGCATGCCGAGAGCGACAAATGTAACAACGTGGTAAGAAACCAGGACTGGTTTGCATCACTTCAAATCTCAAATTATCATATCTGATTATCCGTCCGGGCATGAGAAGTGAGAAATCGCCGAGAACACACTTAGTATGAAAAGCAATACAACAACTGTCACATTTGTAGAACCAATATTTTTCTATATTTTGCTCGCATATATCGCACCAATATATGCCAGTACTCGTGTGATTTTCATAGCATAAAGAGAGTAGATGTTCGTCGTACCACTGCTTTGTTGTTTTGGGCAGAACAACACATTTGAAATCTAGCACAAAGTTACAGTCATCGCAACTAAATGTTCTATAACTCCTTTTGCCGCAACCAACACATGTCTTTTCGTCGTCCCCGTAGATGTAGTACAATGGGCACCGATGACTTTCATGGAAGATAACTTCAGAAAGTGCACCACATTTTACATCTATATCGAAGTCTTTGATAGTATACCTAAAACCACTTGAATAGTTAGAACACGCCCAACAACAGAATCGCGTCATGTCGTCACATATTAGAGTTAACGGTTTGTCATGATACATATGACGCTTCTTCCTCGGAAGATTAGCGCATGTTTCATGGAGAATGAAATTGCATTGCACACAGCTGTAAAATGCCTGAGAATAAATAGGGGAGACACATGCTGCACAACGCATATTGCTTCCACTGCATATGATACTTCCCTCGTTGAGACTTAAATAATGTTCCTCATGACTAAAGTGAACTATGAAGTTTCCATGTATGGACTTGAACGGTTCGATATCTTGTGTTTCTTCGGATATCCCCTTGAGCTCTAACTTGTCCCAGACATCATCTCGTACTGCGCATCCGGAATGAACGGCATAGTTAGGGCAAGTCGAGCAAGAATACGCTCCATAGGACCAGTCAACTTTTTGATGACAAACTCCGCAAACCCAAATCCCTGCAGGACTTAGATGAAGACGCCTAGAAAGACGATGCTCGTGACGATTCACGTTGATTATCTCCGGTAAGTCGATACAGCTTTGATGGACCATGAAATCGCATTGTTGGCATGAGTAAGGACTCCGATCACCCTTCATTCCACAAGCATCACAGTTAAAAGAGATGATCCTTGGGATAAGGCTGAGCTGATGTTCATGAGCCTTAGGAAATAAGATCTTGAGCGGTGGTGGATCCCTCACACAAGCAACGTCCACACTGAATCTACAGGTTGAACAATGGTAAAATCTCCGCCCTAACTCTTTGCCGCATATACGACATTTCCCATCGGAGAAATGATGTTCTTCGCGTGTAAGGAACCTAACAGGGTGCTTAGGGTGACAAGGATGAGTTATCTCTAGAGGAAGCTTAGAACATTCAAAGTGGAATCTCAGTTCGCATTGAGAACATTTGAAAAGGTACCTACTACAATATATCTCTTCACAGATATCACATGTGCCATGATAATAGTTTTTCAGGAGGAAAAGAGAGTGTTCATGGGCTTTGGGATATTCAATACTATCTGGTGGTGGGTTTTTGGCACAAGCCGTATCGACAACGAATGCACATATAGAGCAATGATAAAACATACGATACAATGTTTCTCCACACAACGTACAGTGTTTACGCTCGGACTCGGAACTGTTGTCCAAGATTGAGAGGTGGAGAGGGTGTTGAGGATGAAACGTGTGGTGGATCTCTGAAGATGACTCTGCACATTCTTTGTGAAAAAAGATTCTGCACTCATAGCAACGATAACCGTCTTTGGTGTAACCACCTCCCCGGCGGCAAGCGTTGCAGCTGCTAACCCAAGGCGATGGGTATAGAGGGTGTTGGTGAGTTGGTAGTTTTATTCTAATCATGGTGATAAAATGTTTGTAATAAACTAATAATAGTTACAAGCACGTTGATCGATGTATTTATTACATACCAATAGTTTGTAATTAATTTAAGTTTCTATTAGATTATGTAACAAGCAAAAAAAAAGATTCTTGGTCATAAGCAAATACTACAAGAAAGGAATAGATGCTAAACTCATTAGTATTTTTCATTCTCTAACAAAGGCGATCCTTTACTTTGTTGAATAGGAATACACATTCTCTCTATCGAATTTAGGATGGAGAGTTTTAAAACACTATGAGGTTTTGACTTGTCAAATAGTATCATCAATTATTGAAAATATGAACTAGTAAATGTCACTATATTAAGCTCTTTACGAATTTAGAGAAACATTTATCTCTCTTATGACCCCAATCGTCACATTGATAAAATACACACCATCAGTAAACCTTTTACATATATATAACGGGCAAAAGAAAAGAAATTAAATAAACTGCATAAATGATATTGTTTTAATATGCCACTTGGCAGTCTCGGGTTGATCCAACATTGGCAGATCACAACACGGCGTCGTTTGGAGACTGATCTGAGGTGATATAAAGCCTCGGCGAGGGTTTATCGAAGGAAACTTTCTCTCATTTTCCACAGCGAAGACGATTTGCGACTGTCACTCACCACCACTGTTGTTGTCTCTCTCCTTCTCCGGTAACTTTATTAAATTTTGTTTCTTAGTCGGATTCCTTAAAGTTGCTTTAGTTCTTCTACGGATCTGCTTGTGGCTTGGCATTTCCCTTATGCTGAACTTTTAGTTTCGTTTTAGGGTTTTTCACTTTTTCATGGATGAATGTTGCTGAATCCTTCTCTGGATTGGTTATTGTTCATTAGAGAAGCTATCACGTTAGTCTCTGTCTTCTCGCTCGACGATTTTGAACTTGAATCCATGTTTCCGCTTTTGCTAGTTAGGTCTTTGCTTGGTGATTTTGCTTTGCTATATCTTCTTTCCAAAATGTCATCTTCTGTTTGATTCTGATGAGTGTCTCACCTCATTTCTCTAAAGAAAAAAATGTCTTTCTGAAAAATGGTTCACCTTTGATTCGCTTTTACATCATCTTCGTCCGCTAATTTCATATATGTGCAGGGTTAAGTAACTGAAGATGTCTCGAGGCTGCTGTCATCCAGATTGCATACGAGCAATGAATGCCCAAGAAGAGCATGGTAACTATATCAGTCTAGAATCCAGAAACTACTATTCATAAACTGTGATTTGGTTTGTGTTTCAGCTGATGGTTTGAAAAGATTCAAACGAATTGACCACACATTCTTCGGGTTTCATTTTGGTTTTTGTTCTTTGTCTTGCAGATGCGTCTGAAAGAGCAGCTATTGTAGCGGCTAATCTGATAAGCTCAGCGAGGGTTATACTGAAGCTCGACAGTGAGTTTACTGAGTACTCGGCTCAGTTTCTGGTGGACAACGCTGGTCCCAAGAAGGAAGAAATGGATCAACAACCGGTAACGGTCAAAGACTGCGTTGACTATCTGAGGGACATCTCTCGTCCCAAGGAGGAAACAGGGCAGGGAGAAACGGTTCAGCCACGCCCCGAGCTTACCGTGAAAGACTGCATTGAGTGTGCTTTGAAATTAGGGATGCCGAGAATGGAGCATTGGGGACATTTGGGATGTGTGTTCAAGGTCCCACCATTTGCTTTTCTCATGCCTCGCATTCCTCCCATGAAAGGAGAAGTGGTCGAGGCTAAGAAACTGGAAGAAGCATTTGAGTTGTTGCGGCAGCAACCGGTTGGAGCAAAACTGCATGTGTTCAGTCCGCAGATTGATCGTGTTGGAGAGGTAACAGTGCTCTAATTTGTTAAAATTTCCACTGAAAAGTTTTAGAGATTATTGATTAAAAGAAGCTTTGATCTAATCCTTGTGTGGCAGGGAGTTTACGATGGCCCTGCAGGTGGTGGAAGAGGAACACACTATGTTGGACTCAGAGATGTGATCATAGTTTCAGTGGAGAAGGCCGATGGAGATGCCGTTGCGGTTGTGAAGATATGCTACAAGAAGAAGACTTCATTCATGAAAGTGTCTTTGTGTCGCATGTTTGTGGCACTACCGTCTGCTGGCCAAGAGTCGAAGGTGACAGAGCCCACGGGTCTCCTTGTCGACTTCATCATCCCGCGCCTGTCTAAGTAAACCAAGAGCTTTGTTCTTGGTAAGTATCTAGAGACTAATATGCTAGTTGTGGCTCTGTATTAAGAATGTCCTAATTAGACTAATTTTCTGTAAGTGAAGAAGTTAAGTGTCATGAAAACTTTATGCTAGTTGTGTGGAGGAACTTGTTTGTAGTCCGAATTTAAGGTTATCCTAGGAGACTTTTATCTATGAGTAAAGAAGCTGATCGCTACTTCTATAAATTTGAAATCGGTCTGTTTAATGTTCCACACCGATGATTGCTCGTTTCTTTAACTGACTATTTATCTTGTTATCAAATGAGAGAGATGCATAGTTTATAATTCACCATTCGGAGTGCATAGTTTAATTCACCATACTGCCTTTAGGCATAACAGGATCATTTTTTAGCTGAATAAATTCTAAACTCGTGACAATCTATATACAATGTGAAAGAGATGTGGCTAGCCAAGATATTCTACAATTGATGACAGGCCCTTGAGGTTGAAACACTGAAAATGCGGTTAAAAGAGAGTCCTAACCCGAAATTCTGACTGGTTCGGTATAAAATGTTCCTAACTTTATCGGTTCTTGGAGAGGAAAGTAAACCAATTGTATGCAGGGGCAGACGAGTTATACCATCTTGATTGAGTTATTGCTTTTCTTCAAGCAAACATTACGTGCTTTTTAACATAAGTTTGAAGGTTCTCTAAAATGTAACATTATATTCGAAATGATATGTATGTTAATTTTCACTTTCTTGGGTTTAACTGAAATGAACCTACCGATAAACTGAACAACCTCTCAAACCATGATCCTGGGGGTAGACACCTTGGACTCTTCCTTCACTGTGTCACCTGAGTGAAAGAACATAAGACCAGTTAGTGAATAGCACACAAAACTTTTAATCATATGATCGTATCAATGTTATGAAATCAAAAGAGATGGCCGAGAGTAATTACCAGATTGAGTAGTTGTGGTGACCTCTCCATAGATGGCCTTAAGCGTGGAGAGAGGAACAACCGCGGAATTACCAGCAGAGGCGGCTTCAGCAAAGAGTTTCTGCTTCCACTCCCACATTGTGACTTTCATTTCCTTGTTAGTCTTGAGGAGCGAGTCCTTCTGCTCCTGTAAGGCCTCGACATACTTTTGCTGTTTATCGGATCTCAATCCCAAAACCACAAAGGATACTCCCAGACAAGTGTTTATTACAGCGTTGTTGTTCATTGCCTCCGATAGAAACATCGCAATCTTGTTCGCCATTCCTGTGTTGTAGTCAAATTCATCAGCCATCTTTATCACGAGGAACATGTAAAAGAACTTATCTTTCTAGACATAACAGTGAGTTTCCACCAGTATGCATCACTTGATTTTTGCACAAACTAATGAATATCCTCAAAGAACAGCAATGCAGTGAAGTGGTGTATCATATCTAGTTTCACAATTGAAGTAACTCGGGAAATTTTAAGTTTTTAACTGCATTTCGACATTGTGAGAGAAACCCATGGAAAATTAAATATGAACACAGATCAAACAATGTTTCTTAAGGTACCTCCAAAAAAAAACGGAAGAAACTATATACTTGTTTACTATTGATTTGAATGTAAACCATTTGCTCTGTTTCTTAAAACATTCAAAAACAGAGCTGCAAGTGTTAAAAGATGAAATCACCGAACACATTTCGCTGGAATTGTTAAGAGATGTAATGTGCATACGGATTGGCTGAAAACAGTTGTGATGAAGAAAAACTATAGGAAATTGGGTTGACAAATGGTGTCATTTAGGCCAAGAACTAATGAAAAATGCCAAGCTTCCGAGTATATGAGATGATGATGATGATGATGATTCACAATTAGGAAACTTAAGTGAGATCCATCAACCCGATCAATAAGCCAAAGACGAAATCCAGAAGAAAAAAAAAAGAAATTTAAACAATTAAGAGCAAGAAAAATAAATCGGAAGGTAAAAGCGAAGGAAAACTCACCTGAAATGAAGGTACGACGGCGGCTACGACGGCGAGAAAAAAACTCCAAGAAGAGAGAGACATTTCAGTACTTTAGGTTATTTTTGGGATCTGACTGTAATTACGATATAATTTAAGGGGCAATTTGGGTATTTTACCATATTTAATTAGACTCAGCCAAGTAAGTACTAGGCAACAACTATGGGGTTATTAAGATGTTAGTGTTTGACAATTAAGATGTTTAGACGCTAAGCAGAGGATCTGAATATATCTCGACAAATTGAACAAACAATCTGAGATTTGCAAGAGGTGAACAAGTAAACACATAAGTGTTTAATGACATAGTTTTGTTCTATGTTCAATTTTGTTTATTATTGTGTTTGTTGTTGTTGTTATAGAATCAGTTCTTAACTGTTTTTTCTTTTCTTCCTACTAACCTTTTAATAAAAATGTTAACACTTCTCACATCACATGGACTAATTGATGATCTACTATCCCTTTTTGTTTTTCTTAAAACTAAGAGAGCTATGAAAAAGGTTATTGATTTGACTATTTGAGATTCATTCGTGTAGACATATAATATGAGCGAATACACACATATTGGACAAAATCCAAAGAAAAAACGAAGATTAGTTCATCATAAATACACACATATCAACATAAATGAGGCAGAACCCCTTTGGACAAAAAGAAAAAAAAAAAAAGACTGTTGACCTTTTCGAAGTGGTTACGACGAAATACGGATATTTTTCTAACTTCTCAACATTTGACATTTAACAATTTTAAACCTAAATAAACTATTGATTTGGTGGGCAAGTCAACGGTCAACGTGTCAATTGGAACATCCAAAAGGCATGATTCACTCCTAGCCCAAGTCACCCACGGCATTATTTATAACGTCGTTACTCAAAACTCAAAATACTGATGCCATTGCCAAGTACTTGAAATTTATTTATACTTGAGTAAACATATTTCACCTGAAATATATTCATCTCTCTATATAATTAATAGTTAAACTTTGATTCTATTCATCGTTATTCATTCATCTCCATATCTACCAAATTGGTTTATAGTATTTCTGACGAATAAATTCATTGGTAAACGTTGCACCACAATGATACAAATTTGATAACTTTTTAAAATGTCGGTTTGTGAATTGTGATGCTATTGAAACACGCATTTCCAGTTTAAGCATAATTTGAAAGCTTGGACTCAGTTATGTAGTTGATGTTATGTAGTGGATTGACAAATGTAAATCTGTACGATTTTTATGTTTTTTCTGCGAAATAGAAGACAATACATACGCATATATTGTTGAGTAGCGGTTTCACCATTTTGTTTTTCAAATTTTCAAGCAGAAGATAATCAATTTTGTTTTTCAAATTTTCACTCTTTTTTTTTCCAACATGGTCAACTTATCAAATTGGTGAAAAATGTTTTGGATGAAACAACCAAATTTTAAATATAATATTATGCGCCTTATTTCACTCCTTATAAGTCTATAATCCTTGCAATACTTTTTTGACAAAATATAATCCTTACAATACTTTTGTCAAATTAAAAAACTTGGTTTTCTTTTTCTTTTCGTGAAAACTAAACTTCTTTTTTCTTTCTGTGTGGGTATATCGCAATCTCAGAATCGGAGCGGAGCACGTGTTAGTCCTAAAATCCATCCTTGTCACAGTGCCCTACCATCGTCATCGCGTTCTAATCGTAAACTATCAATTTGCCACTTCCAAGAAATTTCTTCCTCTTTTCAGAAACGTGTTATTTTCCTCTAAAGTAACTAATTAAGACTTAAGAGGGACGGGAAAATAAGTCTAATTAATTTCAAAAACAGATATTAAGAATATTCCAAAACGATGTCTCTATTAAAACCAAAGGCATACAATACACACCAACCATGTTTCCTTGCCGCGTAAATCTTTAATAAACTCTAAGACAAGAAAAAGAACTTTAAAATCAAAGTTATTTTTCGGCTTAACAATCAATTGTATATGCTTTAATGTTAACTGTTACTGTGTGGAGGTTTTAAAGCAATTATTCTATCATCCAACAAGTCCTAAATATTCAACCAAATATCGGTAATATAATTAAACCAATGAAAAACTAAATTAATGAAATATATGAATTTGTTAATGATAAAGAAACCATTTGATATAGAAGATTTAGTGACGCTTTTAAATTCATCATAACTTGAGTTCTCCACAGTCTCTTATGAATAAACCACATAAACTAACTTTTTTTTTATGAATCTCAACATAACTAATAACTAAAATCTAGTCATGTGTCCCTTAAAGAAAGATACAATCTTGTTAAAAAAATCATAAGATAAAAAAACTATATTCTAAGTAAATCATTCATAATTTTCATCAGATTTGATAGTTGCAATTATTGAATAGAATATTATTTGTGCACTATAGAATCTGATGTATATATATATGACGCTTTATCAAACATGTTTTCTTTTTGTCTTTTTATGAATTTATCAAACAAGTTTTACGCGGTGCAATCTCTCAATGAAACAGTGACCAGTAAACGCTTTATCCAATAAAAAAATACAGAATAATAATAAAATATTTGGAAAAGAAAGTCAAGTCACCGTCAAACCCATCTGCGCTAACCGCGTTCACACCTTCACGCGCTTCCTTTCACTCTGTATCTTCTCTTCGCAGACAAAGAAGCCTTTTTTATAAATGTCTGAAACCAGAACCATTAAAACCCAAATCGTTGTCTTTCATATTCAAACACTTTGGAGCTTCTAATTTGATTTCACATTTAACTAAGTCAAACACTTTTCAAACCAAATTCGTCAAACTCTGAAATTAAAAAACCTCTTTTTTTTCCCCTTTAATGGAAATCTCTGCTTTCCCATTTCCATACCTACAAGACGACGAGTGTTCCCATTTCCTTGGTCTATTTCAGGACATGGACTCTGCTCCTTCTGATTTCGGATTGGAAGGTTTTGGTAACGACAACAACACGAACCCTAAGAAACGCCCAAGAAAGGAAGACGAAGAAGCTGGAGCTGTGAATGGTAACAAGGCTGCGTTTGGAGATATACTCGCGACGCTTTTGCTCTTGGACGAGGAAGCGAAACAGCAACAGGATCAGTGGGATTTCGAATCTAATCGACAAAAGTCTCTTCTCGAAGCTAATCACAAGAAGAAAGTGGAGACAATGGATGGTTACTACAATCAGCTGCAAGGTCATTACTCCGCAGCGGGGGAAACCGATGGTACCCGTTCGAAACGCGCACGAAAATCCGCGGTTGCTGCTGCGGTTACGGCGGCAGCTTCCGGGGAGGAAGCAGCCGCTGTTCCGGTTCCGGCGACGGATATCCCTAGCGGTTCCGGGCCGAGTCATAGGAGGTTGTGGGTGAAGGAACGGACGACGGATTGGTGGGACCGAGTGAGCCGGCCGGATTTTCCAGAGGAGGAGTTCCGGCGGGAGTTTCGGATGAGCAAATCGACGTTTGATCTGATTTGCGAGGAGTTAGACGCGACTGTGACGAAGAAAAACACGATGCTTCGTGACGCGATTCCAGCTCCAAAGCGCGTGGGCGTTTGCGTTTGGCGTTTGGCTACTGGAGCTCCGCTTCGCCACGTGTCAGAGCGGTTCGGGCTCGGAATCTCCACCTGCCACAAGCTAGTCATCGAGGTCTGCCGCGCGATCTACGACGTCCTGATGCCGAAGTATCTCCGGTGGCCGTCCGATTCGGAGATCCAATCGACGAAAGAGAGATTCGAATCGGTCCACAAAATCCCAGACGTCGTTGGGTCGATCTACACCACACATATCCCGATCATCGCTCCGAAAGTCCACGTGGCGGCGTATTTCAACAAGAGGCACACGGAGAGGAATCAGAAGACGTCGTACTCGATAACCGTCCAGGGAGTGGTTAACGCCGACGGGATCTTCACCGACGTCTGCATCGGAAACCCGGGATCTCTCACCGACGATCAGATCCTCGATAAATCATCGCTTTCTCGACAACGCGCGGCGCGTGGGATGCTGCGCGACAGCTGGATCGTCGGAAACGCGGGATTCCCGTTGACCGACTGGCTCCTAGTGCCGTACGCGAGACAGAACCTGACGTGGACGCAGCACGGATTCAACGAGAACATCGGCGGGATCCAGAAGATCGCGACGGAGGCGTTCGAGCGGCTCAAAGGACGGTGGGCTTGTCTGCAGAAGCGGACGGAGGTGAAGCTTCAGGATCTTCCGTACGTGCTTGGTGCTTGCTGTGTTCTGCATAACATATGCGAGATGAGGAAAGAGGAGATGGCGCCGGAGCTGAAGTTCGAGGTCTTCGATGACGTAACGGTGCCGGAGAACAATCTCCGCTCTGGGACTGCTGTTAACAGAAGGGATCAAATATCTCACAATCTCTTGCATCGTGGCCTCTCCGGCACAAGAGCTCTATAGCTATGGACTCTGTTTTACTTCTTTTTTTTTTTTGCTTCAAACGGATTTTTTATTGCAAATTCTTTTTTCCAGAATAGGAATAAACAAAAGTATTTTAGTTGATTCTTAGAGATTGGATACAAAAGCATAGTGGAAATGAGTTTAGGATTGGCTGATATTGTTTGTGCTACTATTAGCATCGTGTAATCTTTAGTTCATGTATACAAATTAAATTTGAACCTTCTAAAGGAATTGTTATTTTCTTTCAATATCTTCTTCTTCACAGAATAGGAAGATACAAAGTCAAAGAGCTGTAATTGAGCGAAACAAATGTTCATCGAGAACCAGTACAAGCTCAAGCTTCAGACCAAAGGTTCAACGATAAACTGATGGAAGTTGCACAACTTGCACTGGGCTCGCAGGATCTTCCTTGTTATCCTATGGGTTTTTCGTTTTGTGCATCACAGTCACACAGCATAATCAACGGCTGATCCGTTTGATCAGCAGCTGATGCATTTGCTCTTGTGTTTTGAGAATATGATTATATAGATTTGCAGGAAATTTGGTGTTAGACCAAAAGCTAGCAACTTCTTAATGTATTATCACAAAGGGGAACAATTTCACATTCTGAATGATTTGGAGGGAAAATATACAAAAAACTATTACGACCCACGAGGTACAAGACTGTTAATTTGTCTTTCCCAATCATGGATGTAAATTATGTAAGAATGTTAATTTGGGATTTACTAAATGTTAACAGAGATAAGCATGTTCCTTAATCATTATTTTTGGGGTAATGATATACACAGATGAAAGGTAACAAAGCCATGATATATGTGTTTATTAGCCTATATATTGATGTTAATCACTTAATTGTGGCTTTGTATGCAAACTATATATATGAACAACAACACTTAAAACTACCTGAACAAAAATTTCGTTTTACTAACTTAACATCATTTTTTTTTAAGAATCCATCTAGTTGTATCACTTTAGAATTTCCCATTTTTGTCCAAATAATTTCCCTGTTTATTTATATACGGAATCTCAATGCTGAACATGTTTTAAAATTAATGGACTTTTTTGTTTACTAACTAAGATAATGATTAATTGATCATAATTCAATAATATTTAATCTTAAAGATCTTAATTATGGTTTTTAATTATGTTATTGCTTTGTACAAATCTGAATGCAATTACTGAAAGATGACATCAAAGGATGATGTATTTCTTGATTTAATACTAAGATCTTAGAATTAAAAATGATAAGTGTCAATTTTGATAGAAAGATAGTGTCAATTTTGAACTAGAAAATGTACAATTGTAAAAATGTTTTTTTTTTTTAAAAAAAAATTGTTTAAAATTGTGATATTATCCAATTGTTCGGACATTATGTATATATATATACAGTAAATATCGTCATTCGTCAATCGTCACAGCTTTGTTCCTTAAAAAGCCATTTAGCTACTTTCAAGCCGGCTTGACTCCTGTATATTACCAGATTACCCCTACTGTCACCACAAGGGGACCAGCCTCCTCTTTGGTTATCCAATGGGTAATATCGTAATTTCAAAATAGCCAATTCCATTGCCGATCAAAATCAAGCAACCAACGAACGCGCGGTTCGTCTCGATCCCGTCCTCTCATGGCTGTTTCAGGGACGTCATTGGATTTCGATTTCGATTTCAAGCTCTCTTCACGTACTCATTTAAACGATCCAATCTAAGATTCCCTGATTTTGGTAGAGAGTTTTTTTTCCTGTTTGTAACTAAGGGAAATTGTATTTTCCTTCGGCGCGATTTTGATTCGAGGTACGAGGTTTCGCTCTCATCGTCTATCTTTGAAGTTTGATCCGGGTTCTAGGGTTCTGTCTCTGTGGGTTTCCCTGCTCATTGAAGATGATTGACTTCGTCTTCATGAAGTTCGTATGATTTTTGATTCAGTTCTCTTCTAGGGTTTTCTTGTGTTGAGAATTAACATATTCTAAGCTGTGAATTTTGCTTATTTTCTAGTTTATTGGGTGTTTATGGTAATGAAGTTCGATTATGGAGAAAGCACGAATTTTCAGGAGAAGAGTCGGCTCAATTTTTTTTTGTAATTTTACTTTGAATAATAATCTCTGCTAAGTTGAAGTTTCATTATTAGTCAGCAATGCAGATAAGCTGTGACGAAGGCATTTAAGGAATAACCTTTCTTTCTTTTCAAATTGATTTTGGGATTGATGATAGCTATTTCACTGGATTGGTGATTTGACTGTCTAATTATGTCTTCTGCTTGACGAACTAAAGATTAAGAAGTGAAATTGGAAGATAATTCAACACTTTTCATCATCTCCATTCTTGTGGAGTTCACTTTCCACTTTATTAGAGCTTTTAACATTTTTGTACATTAGCTAAATTGGTAGATTCGTTTTTTCTTTCCCCGTATTTGTTTAACCTCTTCAGTTGGGTGGTAGTTTACTTGCTTGATTTTATTAGAAGAGCCCGAAGTACTCGGAAGCTAGATTGATGAACTCTTTTTGTTTCTATATGTGTATAGATTTGAGAATTTATATATTTTGGTCGCTTATTAAAGACTTAGTTAGTGCATGAAAATGGTTAATTGCGTTGGTTGTTTTCGTTCATAGTTCCGTCTTACAAATATCTTTTGATTTGTTTGTCTCGGCTTGTCACTGAGGTTTTGATTCCGTCTTGTCATTTTGCAGGTGCACCTTCTAAGAAATCCGACAGCTGAGAATTTAGCATATATGTGCTGCAACTCTGCAAGCTTGTCATGTGCCACTGCGTGTATAGTGTTTATAAATAAAACAGTGGACTTGCGAAAGCTAAGGGAATGTCAGCACCTGGGAAGTTTGACTATTCTTCTGGTGGACCAGATAGGCCTCTATACAGGTCTAACTTAGCTGCACAGATGGAAAGATCTAGTAGCTTCCGCGAGACGATGGAACATCCTGTCTCATCTTCTCATCCCAACATGCTGAGGACCACTTCACCATTAGCACAAACCGATGTGACAAATTTCTTTCAATGTTTGCGTTTTGATCCTAAGGTGGTTGCCGCAGACCACAAGTCTATCCGTCAGGGCGACTTTAAGCGTCATGTGAATATTGCTCTTGGGATTCAAGGAGATGAATCTCCAAGCACAACGCTGAAAGGGAAGTTAATTCCATCTCCGATACCAGAAGAGATCAAAAGACTAAAGGCTGGTCTACGCGAAAACAATGTGAAGGCCAGGTAGTTTATTTATCAGAATAAGTTAATAAAGAATTCTTCTTCGGAGTTCTGTTTACCTTACTGAATTTATGTTGTTGCAGGGAGCGTGTGAAAATTTTCAACGAAGCTTCGTCTGTATTTAACAAGTTTTTTCCTACTGTACCTACAAAGAAAAGGTCTCGACCAGAAGGGTTCTCTAATGACCGCTCTGGTGATCGCTTGGCTTTAGGGTCAGGTTTAGGTAAAATGGGAATTCAAGGTCAGACTCTGCCTGGTTGTTTTGAGCTTGATCAGCAAAAGGTGGATGAACGACCTAAAAGCGGTGCACTTAATAAACGGACACGTACTTCCATGGTAATTCCTGATTTTTGTTTGAAAATACATGCTTTGGTGTATTTTTCTCCTTGTGGACCTATTTTCATGATCTAGCCTTCTATAGTAGCATATCTTGAACCAGTTTTTGGTGAAATTTTTTGAACTGTTATCCTAAGAAAAATAGCTAGAAATGATAATTACATAATAACTTCGTAGTTTAAGGTAATTGTGCTTACAAAATTTAATGTATGTGAATGTATATTAAAGCCAGGATATATTACAGAGCATTAGTCCTATTAGATCTACATAGTTTCTCAATTGTTTTTTCTTTCTTTAATGCTATTTGTAATCTGGCCTTAAAATATTTGCATACCGCAGGATGTTGTTTTTAATTTTGGATTCTAAATTTTAAAAGCATCTGGCTGTTTTTTTTTTGTTACTAATTGGTAACCACGAATTCAAAATGTTTTGATTTTGCTATTATGTGATTCAGATGGATGTTCGAAGCAATGTTATAGTTCGACAATCGGCTGCGGTCGATAGGGATAAAGACACAATGAGGCTGGCAAATCATAATGCAGTTCAGAGTGAAGACCGATCTTCAATTGGTATTGATGGTTGGGAAAAGTCGAAAATGAAGAAAAAACGATCTGGCATAAAAACAGATGGTCCTTCTAGTTTGGGTTCAAATAAAGCTGTTGATGGTTACAGGGATTTGAAGCAGGGCATACCGAAACCAGCTGGTGATTCCAGGTCGAGATTGAATGGTGACTCGAACATGTTAAGGTATGTATGGCGTACTCTATCACAAGGTCTAGTCACTAGTGTTGATATATACAATCTTATATTCTGATTATCTTTTCCAAAATGCCTCTTTTAGCTTCTTTTGTTTTGTTAAGTATTCACTGAATGTGACAAGTGGAAAAGAACAAAGTTAAGATCAGAACTGAGATTAAATGCCCTGAAAGGATTTTCAGAATGTTTTGACTGGCAGTCTACACCCATATTAGCTCTTTTTGGAATATTCAAGATGGTTTTTCCTCTGCTTTCATCTGTTACAAGTTTTTTTTTTTTCTATGGAGGACGTGTATTATGCATCTGATAACTACTTGAAGTATCATAATATGTGCTACATATACATCGTCTGGAGTTTATTAGAAAAATATTCATAAATAAGATGTCACAAAATTAAATGGATAGGTATTCCCTACTTTAAATGATTATATCAGTTCTTATGGAAGTAAACATTGGATTGATGACCATTTATGCATTTAAGAACTTCTGTATGTTGGATATGCAACAACAGTGCCTTCCGCTTATCACCACAAGTTTTTTTACTGGCGCCTTTATAATCTTGATTCGACGATTGCCTTAATCCATTCGCGTGGTTATGGAATTTAGGTTGGTGGCTGACTATATGCCGAAGATTCTTTGTTTCGCTTCTGTCTTATTGAGCACAATCTCTTCCTTCACACATCGTTCATTTCTCCGCCGTCTGTCACGAATCTCTTTATTGGTCATTTAATTAATTAATGTTTCTGGTTGAATTACTTGTGTAGGCATGGGGGAGTGAATGGTGCTGCTCCATATGGAAGATCTGATAGCCTCTCTCAGCAGACAGGCTTGGCAGGGCGCTCCTTGCTGTCCAGGGATTCCGATCACAATTCGCTGTACAATGAGAAAAGAGAACGAGCTATTGGTTCTGACAAGGAAAGGGTGAATCTGAGGGCTATCAACAAGTATGTGTTAACAAACTTACAATCTTCATTCGTCATTTTTTCAGTTAGAAGAACGAACTATGATGATTTTCTTTTTATATATTCATGTTACTCCCTGCTGGGTTCTTTTCAGGTCAAATATTCACGATGAATCCAATTCTTCAAGTCCAACTTCAAACCCAAAGATAAATGTTTCAGTTCGTGGTCCGAGATCTGGATCAGGGCTGCCACCGAAACTTTCTCCGG